TTAATATGTGTAAAGTGCTATAGGTATACTCGATGTTGTTTATTATCTTCACGCCTGCTCATTCATATAGGATATGTAGTGATAAACCTACAATTTACCTAACATTGATCAATTATTAATTTGTAGCTCGGAAATTTATTTATTCGCAATACCCATGAGCGAGTGTTGCTTATAGGGACTGTTCTGCTCTAATCACTACGACTGATTTAACATTAATGTGTATTTAATGTTTTGTCGCTAATAAATTAGTGCTAGTTGATAATTTGTATTCACACATGTCGACTTAACAATGTCTGTAATAAGTTACAACGATTGTAATTATTTAAAAGAAGAACACACAAGTATCTTGCTCGTTCTTCTTGTGGTAAGACAGCTTTCCGAATGAGAAGTAGATTAAAAAAAACTATGATTATTCAAAAGTGCTGAAATTAAGTTTATTCGAATAAAGCATTTTCTATTCTATTCTAAAACGGATATACAAGTCAACAGAGTGTAATGATTTAGCATTCGTGATAGTCCGAGTGATAGGAGGTCGTCGACCCGCCTCGATGCCCGGCCACCATGGAAAGTGAAATCTTGTGTTTTACATCACGGCATCTACACTACGAGATCAGGTGTATGTAATTATGTTCGTATAGGTTAATCATTGGTGACACATGTTAATTTTCATATTATTTTTTAACGAAACTAAAAAGATTATAACTGTAACTAGACTTATCTGAATACTACATGTAGGTGATTATACAAATGCTCTCCAAAAGGACACCTTTGGAGACCAAGATAATCAAATAGAATGGCTTGCCTTTAGCGTACCTGCGTAGGGTACCTGCGCCAACGATATACGCTGGCGGAGAACTAGTGGAGGATGATAAAATGAACATGAGGTCAGGTCAGGTAGCCCATCGACGTTAATTCACTAGGACTTATGGTTCCAATACCGTTGATGAAAAAATACTAGCAACACGTCCTTTTATATCTAATGAATACGTCAAAATAGACGAACTGTATGTAGTGGGACTTCAACTTCCACTTGTGTCTCCGCAGCATACCGTTACCAGGTATAACATCCAATACCGTTGATGAAAAAATACTACACGTTTCCCAAATTCTGTCACCACAAATAAGAGAATATGACATGAAATATCAACTCAAATATCAAACTCACTTTCTGTAATATTAATAATGATTAATATTTCTGTTAGTTGCAATAATTAAATTTATTGTAAACTAACGAGTAATCATTTCATTAGATCATTGACCTTGTTGGAAAGCACAATACATAACAAACAGAAAAATCTTAGATATTATACGTAAGTATATGGTTTCTAAAAGATACGCCGTGCGAAATATAAAAAAGTACGACGTTCGCACTTAATTGTAAGTTTTCCAATTCACAATCGGAAACAAAAACTGTTGCTGAGAAACGGTAAGAAAATGAACCGTGAACTACTTACAGTTTAGATAGATTATAACATTATTACAGTAGATATAAAGCAATTTACTACACTGGCGACGCAACCTTCACTTAGACGCAATCAAGTCATGAGTTCGATTCTCGCGAGATATTTTAAACATTTCTATCCATTAGTATGATGTATTATGGGACTATTTGTAATAAGAACCAGTGAACCCATTGCTACAATATTAGGTCGACCTCGATGCTCCTCCTAGAAACTATCGTAATTAATTCCTGGTGAATTTGTAATGAGAAGCAAATTACTTATCATTACAAATACTTCACTAGTGTCAGCTTATACCGTAAAAAACAGTTATTTATACGTATAATAACATGAATAGCACCACTTAACAGAGAGGAAGGCATTGTGAGCAATGGGGATTAGTGCCATTGGTAACAATTTTCCATGTTAGTGACCTCCAAGCGGAAAATTTGGAAATCATCCTATTCAATTCTTAGACCTAACTTGATGGTCATGCCATGAACCTTCACTGGTGCGCTGTCAGCGTATCCTCCCGTTTGCGCTGGTGCTTGCACCGGTCCATTCTCATTCATTAAAAAAACATTCGAAACACTTCGTGACGTAAGGCATAAAGAATTGAGAATGCAAAAGCTTCTACTATTCTTTTGCAGTCTTCGTGAATGGCAACACATAAGAATTATGTTATGCGTTGCCATTAAATAAGACAAAGAACCTGGTAAGTAGTAAATTAGATACTAAATACAATTTAGTATGAATTCTCGCAAAGCTAAATAAAATATTATCACACAGTTAACTGTTTACTATAAGTCATGAGTAATATTTGTTTATCATTTTCCTGGAATTCGATGACCTTTAGAATTTATCACATAATGGATTATATGGTATTAAGTCATAAATCGTAACTTATTGTAACATTATTATTAATAAAGATTAGATATACCTGTTTATTTGTTTATAATGATGAACATACACATAAACACACATATTTTCTGAGTCTCAACTATTTATTCATGATTTAGATAAAAAAGGTTATGTATATAAAACATTTCTCTGACAATCTAATTTAAAGAATTGTTTCACATATCAACCTACATTATCAGCAAGTAACATTTCCTGAATTGTGATAAACAATATATTTATAACACATAGGTATTTGTCATCGTTTTATAAAAGTGTACTTATGGAGTCTTAGCTAATTTAAAACTATTATATAATAGAATTGTAGGTTTGTCAAATATTAAAGAAAATATATGTTCCAAATCTGAAAATGGTCCAAAACGAATTCATACGCATTTTCATCGTATCCGTTAGTAGTCAGCCGAGAGTTAGCCTTTAGCCGCTCCATAAGTCATTCTGCTGGTGTGGAGTGCCATCTGCACTCGCCCCCATATAGTTCGGTGGCCTTTAGCCAGCTATTGAGTAACTACGCTCTTAATTCTGTTATTATACATTTAAAAAGTTCATTTATTATTCGCTGCTATTCTTTAAGAACACCTAAATCAATTTATTTACTCTAAATGTCTGTTTAAACATAAATTTCATTGATTAAGTAGTCAATTATCTGTTCTATTGTTATATAATGGCCGTGAGACAAGATATGGTTGATATAAATTATAATATGAATAACTTCATTTCCATATTTTTAAGTATAACATTGAACCAATTCTATAAGTAAATATAACATAATTTTAGGTAAATAAAGGTATTTACTATAAAATTATTGGTGTTAAAACCCATTTAACTGATGATGATATACTATTAATAATGCGTTCTCAATGCTAAAGTGTAAGAAAAGTAACGTCTTTAAAATATATATAATATATATATAACTGTAACAATAATATGGAATATAATTTCGTAAAGTAAATAAATAGAGACATTTTGTCTTCATCTTCCTTCTCATAATCTATCTTTACGTCGAGCATTAAGAGTAATTCAGCCGTTATTTGTTAGGTAATAAACAGATAGACAAACTTTCTTATTTCTAATATTAGTCTGGATTAAATAAAGTCCGCCCTGCATTTTTGTGTATCGCATATCCAACCAATTAACTGTGGTCTAGTAATTACGCTCTCAAGTTACGCTCTCTGTACAAACTTACTTAATGACTAATTGATATGGCACGGTAGCACGGCAAACACTCGTACAATTCGTTCTATCCTCGGCTCTGTGGCCAAGTAGACAGGGCCATTAAACAATGTCGACGAAAGTAAACTTTGTAACAGAAAACAAACTGTAACATTCATCCGAAACGTGAAATTGAGAACTACTTACGATAAATATACTATTATCATTTAATTAATATTATAACAAGGTACAAGATTATTTGATACTTCAAAAAAAGACGGCAATACTTAAAAAGAAGGGCTAGTTTTATTTTTTGATTTGAAATCCAATCTACCGAAATTATTTTGATAAAAATATTATGATAATCTGATAGCATATCCTAATAAAATAATCCTTCTAATAAAATAAGAATTTTACAATCCAATTGATAACCTACTCTTCTTTAGGTTGGTTACACATATCTCTATATTGTATATTTCAAATTTTAAATTAGTTTTAAGGTTCTGTATTATATTTTCGTAGTATTCAATAGTCTTTCTAAATACTTCAATGTTTATTTTGTTATTCCGAGGCATGAACTGAATGGATGAACTGAATGATGATTCTCAATATATTTAAAAAACAATAAAAAACAAAATACATGTTACGTTAAACTGCCAATAACTCCAGTTATATAATCAAATATCGAAAATACATACACAACAAAATAATAAATAAAATATACATGTCTATGAATTTCTCTAGCTATATCCGTTCTCCGGAGTGGAACGTTCAACTTTGATGTTCACTGTCCGACATTTTCACATAGTCACTACTTCGATAATTAATCAGTACTTCAATTGAACCGCACTTTACAAATGACTTAAGGAAAAGGAAGATTCTCCATTCAACTGCATTTTTATATTATTACACAGTGCAGTGGTTATAAATGGGTTGTCTTTTCTAATTTTGATACAAATTATTTAATTAATTTTTCCACCAATACATGGAATTTTATAAAAACATATTATATATTTGTTAAGATTCTTACTTTTTTCTAAACTATACGAATTAAATTACGTGTCCTTTTACAACTAGTCCATTTTATTAAGTAAAAACGATTGATTTTCACAATAATTATCTACACAAATGGTCGAGACAAAATTGGCATAATATACTTATATAAAGAGTCCGCAATTATACATAACTACACGCTACTCATTATGACAGTCATTAAGTAGTAATTTAATTCATTAACAGATATTCAATCAGTCGCGCAATTTCCTGAGAGCTAAACGCACCGCATCATTAAAGTAAAGCTTTCAAATATTTTCTTATTTTTTAACTTGAGTATTTGCCATTACTTTGTCTATTTTACATAGCTAATGCAAACGTAAATAAATTACATGGATGACGAATAGAACTTAATATCTTCAAAAAATTTATTAAAAACACATTTTATTTTGGCATCGGATAAAATAAATTAGTCAATTTATTTCATTTATTTTGTTTCAGATGACTCCCGTGAATACAATACGGCCATTGGCCATAATATGGCTAACTATAGCTATCACCTGCGCAGCTGCCGACCACAACGACCAAAATATGACTACAACCAAAGCCATACGTACTACGATCCTTCCTTCACGGACTACAAGAACAGAACTCAAAGTTTCCAGAAGTCTGAATCCACATGATACTCAAACCCTTAATGTGAAAACTAGGCAAGGTCATATGACTCAACTCATTGTAAAGAAAAAGGATATAAAGAGCACAACTCTTCATGCGAGCACGACACAAGCTCCTACTACCGTATCGGTCAAGACTACTGTTACGTCACTTAAGCCCAACATAACTGTTGAAGATAATAAAAACAAAACAGAAAGTAGAGACCAGAGGAAACTTAACTTTGTTGGAACACTTAACAGTGACTTAGCTGGGTACGATTACTACTTAAATCGCAATAAAAATTCTGACGCTGAACTTGGTGATATTAAAACTGAATACGGTAACTGGTCTCCTGTATCAGTTTACCCTGAATCTCATATACAGGAAGATGGTAAGAAACCAGAAACAGATCCAGAAACATCAAGTTATTATCCCACATATGATAATGATAAAATAACAGAAGACAAAAAGGTTTACATTACGTCAACAAGTTTTTTAGATTACGGTAGTCCAATTAAAAACTACAGATTCGATCCCCATAACCCAGTAATAAAAAATGACCGAAATCCAGTATATATTGAGGTGGTAAGCACGAAAGTCGCTGATGGTGAAGAAAAATCTTTCAAAATCCCTGATCCAGTAGTAATTAGTTCTGAACCTATGTACCTAAAAAAAGCTGTTGATAAGTATAACAATAAGCGTGGCAGATCTATTTTATCCCTCGGTGAAGATGGCATACCTGAAATTCATGGAGTAAGAGTACCTGATGATGAATCTGATAAGAAAACTTGGAGAAATGCGCGTGTTGTCAATGGAGAACTGTTACCATATCCAGAGGGCTATAAACCACCTAAAGCGATAGCAGAAGCAGATGTGTATCCCAATATTGCAGACGTCGAACCCCACCAGAGTTTTGGGCCTTTCACAAAAGAAGACAATTTTGAACACAATGATGGACCCTTCACAAAGTTTGACAATATTAAATTTGATTATGACGATGCCATTGGTCCCTATATGACAAGTGATAATCCAGCATATGCATACAAACAAAAGAAAGACAATTATTATTTGAAATCTAATTACGGGCCTTTCACTAAAGCCGATAATTCAAAAGTAGCCAACTCTAAACTTATAGAATACATCAAGCAAATTAATGAACAAGAATCTAAACGAGATTACTTCAGCGGTCGTAGTTCAAGAGCTCACACTGGGGATCTGGAATACTCTGAAAGCCATATTCAAAGGCGCATGCTCCAACATCCTGGAGAAAATAACTTCCCAAATTCATTAATGTACACTCCAAAAAATGCTAAGCCAGAGTTTGATGAAAGTGTTCGCAATCCAGTATTACAATATGCTCATCCAGAATTAGGTATTCAGCCCGCTAAAGCCACTAATGTAGATAACTATGAAAATAAAGAACGCAAAGTGAAATACTATACTACAAACGTACCTAAAAGTGCACACCCATACCCAATGGAGCCTATCAACGGATTTGGGCAACAACGTTCTCAAAATCATAACAGATACTACGAGGATGAACATAAGAAATTTTCTTACTATGAACATAACCCTAGCCCTCGTTATCCTTATAACTATGGCTATATGAATATAAAGCGTGTTCAAGAACCATCTTTGTGGCAAAAACTTACCAACTCTATGAAGGACACTATAAACAGTGCAAGCCAAACAGTTCATCAACTAACAAGACCCATAATAGATCCTATTGCAAAAGTGACACAGCCTGTCCTTGATCCTTTAGTGGAAGCTACTCATAAAATCTCTCACAATTTAGGACTTTACTCATCTAACTCGATACAGTCTCAAAGATATGCTCAAGATAAAATTGGCGTGGCAGCCGCAGCTACCGCAGGAGCTCCCGCCATGCTGCCAGCTATCGGTCTTATGGCTGGAGGCGCTGCTTTAGGTCTTGGTGCTGTTGCTATGGGAAGGCTTTTGGATGTTAATATAATGAGAAACGCAGGTTTAGGAGAAGATGATATTGTAGATGACATTGAAAAGGAACACAAGAGATCATTCAGTGGAGTGCCATATGATATTGACAGACATATTATAAGTAACCAAAAGGTTTACGATGATAACTATAAAATGCCTAGTGAAAATGTATATGTCGTTATGTCTCCAGATGGAAATGATGGCACTCGTGCCAAACGTGATGTCTTAAGTTTCTTCCAAGAACCCAGTTCACAAAGTGTTGTGTTAAAAAGAGTGAAAAGAAAACATATAGTGAAGAGGGCATTAAAGCATGACTTGCCCGACGACCTCCAGCATTTAGACAGTAACCCAACCCCGTCTTCTTTGAATACGGCAGCTATGGATTTGGTTAAACAAACAGACTGGAGAGATTCTCAGTGCGCTAAGTTTACCTTCTGTAAAGTACTGACGTCACAGCCATCTGACTCGATCTTCGCAATGGAGAAAAAAATGGAGGCGTTATTAAAAATGTAAGTACAATTTAATATTTCACTTATAAGAATTTTATGTATAGTATTTTCATTAAACATAATTACTATATCGTAATGTAGTAAAATTATTATCAAAGAAATTCTGAAATATCAATATATTGAAGTACGTTAAGTAACTATATAGTAACTGATTTAATTCTTACATACATATAGCCAAATAATATTTCTGTCTTCTGCTGAACCCTGATAAATTAGTACGTGAAGAGACTGTATGTGTAGCCTTTCAGTTATTATGTATACATGATAAATAGATGTTAAAATATGTCATGGAAATATAATTTAGAGATATTATGAATATAGAAAACGTAACCTTTTTAAGCTTCCCTAAATTTTTGTAAGCACCTATGTATTTTTCTGACTTATCATTTTTTCTGATCGTCTTCAATTCCCATCATTTCTTTTCTATTTAAAAGCTTTATACCTAATATAATCAAAGACTATGAAATCACATTTCAGACATTCATAATTTGATAATTGCGTAAATTATGTAACGCTATAGTTAACGTTGCACTTTTCTCGCATGTATTTTGATCTATACATTGCATAAACTAGCCGCAAAACTGTAAAAGTGAATGGTTATTTTAGTTTTAGAAATTGTCTAAAGATAAAGGTGAAAGCTGTTTTGATGCTTCTCGTCACTTGATACACGGATCCCGATAGTAATAATCATTGATTTGAACTATAAGTATATGTATTAATTATTTGAACTTTCTTTCAAATGCAGTTGAACGTAAAGGATTGAAATATCAAATATAATGATTTCTAATTCTGTATATGTTTGTATTTTTGTAGTCAAGGGCAATTTTGTGATTAAAGTTTATCAATGGAAGATTCATTGATAAACATTAGTGATTCGAGTATCTGAGAATTTCATAATTCAGCAAATATTTAATATTTATTAGTAATGTTTCATTTATATGACTGAATGCCGTTTTACAAATTATTTTACCATTTTTCAAGATAATATGAATTTATATGAAGAGTTGAGGGAAAATTCAATAAATAATACTAGTTATGATTAGCCAATGTGCACCAACAATTCATATATAACAACAATACTCCGACAGCTTTCACTAACATCCATCATTCTAGATTTGTGGAACACTATGTTAAAACGAAATTTAATTAACTTAAGAATGCTATTACTTCACGCACTGAAAGATAAGCGACATAAAACATAAACTAAAAAAATTGTTCTAGAAGATTTAAAATAAGAACGTTTAAATTATTTTTAAATATAAATACATTAGTCAATTACATTGTAATAATAAAATTTAATTAGCTGATATTACAAGTAAAGAAAGAAAAAGTTGAGAGAAATATTTACACACAAATAACTCGTCTGCACCGAACTGGCACTAAGTATTTATTCATTTCAGATATTTATGATCAATAGCATTTTAGTAAATGATTTATAAAATAGTCTTGCTCGATATTAATTCGCATTGGAATGGAAGTGGGCATAAATATAGGAATTCAATTAAAAACAATTTAATTCATATATTTATGCCCACCTCCATCCCATGCATTATTATGATCCGCTGTAAAATAATAGATTTTAATGGCTGTTATTTAAAAGTACTTTCAAAATAGTTCTAGATTTAATTGTCTTTTTCATTAGTAAAAGACAATTAAAATTAATCTTATTATACTCTCCTCGGTTTTGATTTTTGATTAATATTTTCAAGTTTGTAAATTGGTTTTTTAATCGTATGAAACTAAAGCAATTTTCAAAACATGCGAATCATGTCACGAAACGACATATTTTTCAATTAAATCTAAATTATTATGACTATTTGATATTTCATAATCAACTGTCACACGCGAAAAGATCTTTCCTGACCAGAAACGTAAAAACAGAGTACGATGATATCGCCGTCTCGCGTCGTCGCCCAACCGTAAACGCGACGGTCACGATCAATTTGTGTACTATATGTAATGCAATAAGGAACATGCCTGTATTTTTTTATTTGAAACATCACATTTTACTATGTAACATAAAAATATACATAATATCAAAATATGCAGAATTGAAATGAACATTTCATCTGTACTTGTCCTCTATCGTCGGGTGAAGGTGTAAAGGCCAGCTGAGGCCAACAGCATTACAGTAGTTAAAAAAAAGTCAGACTCTATGACAAAATCAAAACACACGCAGAGAGTAAAATCAGTTTGAAGAAATATTGTACTTTGCTGCTATTTTACTAGTACATGTTTGGTATGGTATTACACCATGTCTATTTAAAAAAAAGACCTCAGAGCAAAAAAAGTCAAGAGTTAACACTATGTAGTACTTACAACAAACGTACCATTGTGCAATAAACCATTGTTTATAAATGTGTGAGTTAGGAAAGTGTGCCATTTTTTTGTATATTTAGTTAAGTGAAGTAAAGCTTAGCAATAACAAAAGCAATTGCGTTATTATTATTATGAGGCATAAAAAAATTGAAATATAATATTGAATAGATGACAAATTATGCACTTTCATAATAGATCAACCTATTATTTATCAACTTTAAGGAGTACTTAATGAGTTAATCAATAAAAATAATAAAATCCAATGTTTTAAATACATATACCTATAATAATTGACTAATATAAATTCTCCTAAAAAAATATAGAATATTTTTAATCAATCAATATAGATAATTGTTTTGGTTCGAAATTTATAATTTTTTGGCAATTGGTTGTCAAAATAGGTTAGGTTTTTAACGAAAAAGTATTTATTATTAGAATGGTTTGCGGCTCCTTTTCTTCTATTACTTAGCACTATAACGTGGACAAAATATACACGTACGGACTAATAGTAAATAAATAAGTAATACAGTAGAACTGTGCTCTCTAGATTGGGTGTTCTTTGAAACTATTCTCTAGGCTCTCTCTACTACTACTACTCTCTCGGGTACTCTACGGTCACTCCGAATGGATGTGAAAATATATATGTATATTAAACATAGAGACATTGTTTGAATACTTAGTTTTTAAGTGACAATTGAGATAAACGACGTAATTACAATTCTGTCGACTCGATGCTTTGAAGACATTTCGTCATTTCCCACACCACTGTCATATTGTAACTGAATGCGTTTGTCATGCAAATAGACAATTTATTAGTTGTTACGTGACAGACAGACGGACAAAAAGAGAAAGTGACAGACTAAACATATAGAATGATACTAATGTACCGCTTCATATCTGTTTGTATTGTCAACATAAATATTGCCTATTACAAGCGCTTGAAAAGATAAACATAATTTTAGGAGAGAGGTTGTCTCTCCTAGAATTATGTTTATCTCCTTCTCTCTATCTACACATACCCCGTAAACGGCCCCGTATGCAATGTTAGAAACTATATATATGAAATATTTATGGCGAGCTCTTTGATCATAATAATAATATGTAGCTCATGGAGAAAATTGGAACGTACGTTAAAAATATACATTATGCTCATTTTATACTTAAAATAGTAACTTAGTATGTCATACATTTATGCTATTTTTGTACATTTAACTGACTCCATGCATGTATAACCATAAAAAACTCTAAAAATATAAATCATAACCGAATTAAAATCCGTTATATGGTTTAGAAGATGTAAGCGTAAAACAGTCAGCATAAGAAGAGTGACTTTGTCTTATCACATTTATAATGTCTAAGTAAATATATTAATGCGAATTTATACCACTTGTAGCTATACTGTCCTAGAAAATTTTAAATTTATAGTCATGACTTACTTTTAAAAGAACAAGAAAATTTTGATTTCACGCAGAATATTACATTGTATACTATATTTGTGACTCCTAAACAATGGAGTCAAAACACAGAGTTGAGACGAAAAAAATTGTAGTTTTTATCCCGAATCTATACTATAAAACAATAAACTTTTATAATAATTAACATATAAAAAATGCATCATTCTTAGATTAACAAAATGAACACAATATGTAATAATTTAATATGGGACAGGAAATGATTTATTAATATTAAAAACGCTAATAACCACTCCATAATAATAATTTATAATTAAAATCTTTTAATTAACTAGGTTAAAACATAAATAATTCAAATTGACTCTCGAATGCACGTAATACAGCGTAATGGTTACATCACTACAGACTGAAATGCGTAATAAAAAAGTTGAAAAAGGCGAGAGACTTTTTTGCCACAACGCGCGACGCGGCGCGGCGTTAGACGGTGTGCCGCCCGTAACCTGCTGGTTGTGTAATATGTTCGAAGCGTGCCGGTGAAAGTGTCCGAACCGCATTCCGCGGTGCACTTTATTATGGGCAGGGTTAACACTCAAAACATACGTAAGGGGCCATCCATAAATTACGTCACACGAGTTTCATGCTTTTTAACACTTACCTATAGTTTTATTAAATTAATATTATTGATTATATTTTAAAAATGACGTCACGAAATTTAGGTCTGTAGTTTGTCACTCCATGTCACACTTTGTCGACTGTCCTCCTGACGTATGACTTATACTTCTTAGGGGAAGTAGAATATAAGTAAAGTAGAAACTAATGTTCTTACTTCAATTTTGTTTATAGTTATTTTTATTTATTTTGAAAAATACCCTCGACTTCGTCTGCGTCGAATTTAACTTTATTTAATAAAATAGATAAAACTTCTTAAATAAATTAGTTACTCCTTATAGCATTAACTGTAGGCGAGTGGAAATCCTGTTTCAGCCGTTTTAGAGATTAGCAAGAATAAGCAGAGAGACAGACAACTGACTTAACTCGCTTAACTTAACCATAAATTAATGGCAGCAATTAATAAGGCACATAATATTTAATAACAGTAATAAAAGTATAATGAAATTAATATTTATTATTAATATCACATTGTCAACCCTACCTTAGTGACGACGAATATTATAGAAATATAGAGATATTTGTATATATCTTAATACAATGTCAAAATATATGATACTTAGATAATTCAAAAGCAATCATTATTAAAATCTTGCAACGATTACATATATACATATACATAGAGTAGAGATACACTATCGAATCCTACTTATTTATTATCTCTCAGAAACAAAACCTTATAGAGTTATACGAAATGTTAGATACATAAATTTAGATATATTTCATATTATTCTACAACTCTACAACATCGTCAATTTACAATGTCTCTATCTACCCGAAACGCTACAGTTGTGAAGAGAGCTTCGTTTCAATTACACATATAGATTTCAATTTCTATTTTTTACTGTCCTAATTCAATTGTTTTTAAAAAAATTAAACAGTATCTTACTGTATCATTAAAGTTATACAAATCTTTAGGTGTACCTTTTACGTAATTGCAAAATGATGACAGATGCTAACGGACGAGACACGAGAATCTTTGATGAATGCTCTTAAATAAAAATTTTAGATACATATTTAGATACTCTAAAAAAGTCGACGAGTTTGAAGGGAATATGTTTCATTCCAGAAACAAAATCGAATAGTTTATTTAACGAAATCAATGGTCATCATATCCAACTGCCTGGAACATCGAGACAGCCACCAGAATCTGTCTTTTTGGCATCCACTGAATCATTCAGGGCGCGTGATCTCCACCAAAATTAAATGTTTTACAGACGTAACCGTCGGAATCTATAGCTTTTCAGATGCACTGAATAATTCAGAATGAGATTGCCAAGAATCTCCAATATATTCAGTTTTACAGTCGCATCCTCTGCATCATTTAAAACGCAAGTGGACATAACTGAAAATTACAGCTTTCAGACGCAACCACTGATTACCGTAATCCCTAATATATAAACAAGACTGGCTGATCCAACCAAAGTTAGTGTTGTGTTGAATATTGTAGTGTTCCGTGCAACTTTCTGATTATTTTATATGATCAGAAACTTCTTCTGACTATAACAAACGTAATACAAAAGCATTAGCGAATTCCAAAAGTTCACGCGTTATGCCGTGACCAGAAGAAATAGAGATTAGTTAATGTATAAACAAGATTATATGATATCTAAAATTATAAATGATATCGGTGATCTAGCGGTCAAGCACGCCACTTTACTGTCGCTGGTCACGAATACGATTCCTCACACCTTGCAAACATTTGTATTCATGAGTATGATTATTTGTATCGGTCTGGTGTTTTCTACGTATATTATGTATGTATTTATAAAAAAAATATCTAAGTATTCATATCAGTTGTCTAGTGCAAGCTCTTCTTACCGTGGGACTAGTTGGCGCGGTTTTAATTGTCCAGGGTTATTTATATATATTATTTATTCATTCTCTTTTTAAAACGCCAGACAGCAACTAACATCTATGGCTCTAGCTGTACTATGATACAGTCAATTGTACTAAATTGTTTACCATCACACAATATATAAACAACATTACACGATAAAAGTTTATGAATAACGTAATTGAGGAGTGTTGTTATCATTGTGATAATTTTACACGAGACACGATATCCCTGTGATTCATTTTGTCATTACTCTATCATGCACGGATGGCATGGTGGGAATGTACTACTGTTTGTAATATATCCGAATGCTTAAATTGATATTTATTGATATATAATATGATTAAATATATGACAGCTATTTTCAACTTTCAAAAAACTCCCTTTCAGTCTACTCGTTCTTGTGTCTCGACTAATTTTGACGTCGATCAACTCTTTTTGTAAATTAATCGCATATAATTGCATATGAATATCATATAAAAACCGATTAGTTTGTGATTTTGTATGAACCATTTGAAAGATGCGATTACAAACTATGTTTTACGATTCAGATTAGCAACTATAAAGTATTCTATTCATAATCTATTCTATAAATTGTAGGTTTTAATCTGTTACAAATAAGGATTATTAGCAACATTGTCACATAATTAAACCAAGTTTTTTTTTATGTAAAGGTAAAAGGTAACAGTCGCCTATATACATGAACACCACCCACAGCGGTTTTTATGTGCCCCGTGATACCACTCATGCGATGACAATCTAGAGGACTAAGATATCATACGTCTTATCCTATAATAGCACTGCCTAATCTGCACCCTATAATCGTAACACAGTTTACAAAGCAAGTTGCTTGGTGAAATAGGTGTGATATATAGTACCCATGAAACTACAGTTACTTAAAGTCTATTTATTTATTTATTTATTAGAAAACTCAAAACTTACAATCTAATACATTCAATCAACAGTACATTCATAGAGAAAGCCAGTAATAGGTTTCAGTGATTTAGCAAAAGAAAAAAAACAAAATGTGGTAAACAGAATAAAGATCAGAGGTAAAAGAAGTAGAAATTTTATACCTCTGGTAAAGTCGTATTCTTATTTAAATAATGAGATATGAGAGTGAAATTACAGAGTATAGATATAGAAGACTTTGTGTTCTATCATAAACTTAGAATGGTAAATATTTATTTTGGAATCTAAAAAAATACACACTCTTTATACGTTTGGTATGATTTCGCTACAACGCGTTAAGTGATCTTATCATATAGTAATTTGGTCCTAATCCTTTGTTAATTATAATTAGTTCATCCGGTATAAATATATCATTATCATCGACCAAAAAATGACAAACAGTGACAAAAACAATCTACTGACTAGATATATATACGAAATCTATATTAATATAGGTAGCAAATTACTACCGTAGATTGAGTTATACTAATCTTTACAGTGCAAGTTTTCCTCGTAAATTTTGTTTATAAATAAGTAATTCCATGCGGTTTTTTTTCACAGTAGATAGCTAAGTTAAGATTTACTTACTGATACTATCTCTAAATATTTTATGGGAAAATCCATGCCGCAATATTTTAGATACTCGAAAGTTTCTTACTTATTAATAATAATAAAGCCTTTATTCTAAAATTACAATTAATTTATAATTTTTAACTAAAATCTTGGCTAAATGTTAATGTTATGGTAATAACATTAACATTTAGCCGTTACAAAGAAACAAACAAGTCTAGTCATGCAATGAGTACCTACCGAGCGTATACTCAGTTAATCTTTTTGACTTTTCCAGGATCTCGCGGGGCGGAAGTACAAGCGTTGCGACTGTAGCCCACCAGCTCGGGGACGTGATGGCTGCGAGTCGAGATCACGACTGCAGCCGGTTCCGATGCGATGCCCACTGATGGTCACATGCGATGCACACTGATGGTCAACACGTAATTACAGGCACGCACCTCCATTTTTCCCATTCAATTTAATTAGATAGACTGTGTTATTTGTAGTATGCAGATTAAGCAGTGAAATTATAGGATAAGAGGCATGACATTTTAACTCTCTGGAATGGCAATACATGATTGATACCAAGAATAAAGTACCTAGAACATAATAAATGAGATATCCGTAGTTTCTTCTTAGCATCAGGTTGGCCATCGGCTTTTTGCTATTCCAGTTACAAAAGAACACCGTCCAAGTGTATATAGTAATCGTAAAAGAGAAAAAATTAAGTAATAATGGAATGGATGCACCCGCCGGTGTTAACGATATATGCTGACGGAGCATTAGTGGAGAGAGATAAGATGAGCATGAAGCCAGGTCAATTAGTCCATTGTGGAATTAAGCACGAACGTGGTGAAGAAACGAACGTTGAACGGATGAGGATTGTCTATTCAAGTTCAGTTTAATAAAGATTAAACTGAACTTTAATAGAGATTCATTCACTTCATGTTGCTAAATATGTGGGAAACTTATTATCTATGTATGTTTATTGCAAAGAAAAGTGTAATAAATGAAATTATAGGTAAACCCATGAACAATAAGAACGCAGCACCAAGAAACCATAATTAGGTATAGGTATAGTACTTTGAAGCTAGTGTAGATTGTGCAAAGTGAGTTCCACAACCACACAGCCTGAACAGAAAAGAGGTTTCATATAAAAGAAAGTGGAGTGATTAATAATAAATATTTTCAATTTCTTTTACTTGTTGATAATTGTTCGCATAATATGAATTACACCTAGCCACAGGTTTGTTTATATTTTTTAAGACTAATCCTGTAGATATAGAAATAGAAAGACAAACACTAATAATATAAGCATGTATTCTTACTTTGTATCATGCACCCCAAGCATGATATACCTATATAAGTTTATTAAAATAACTGATTGGATTAATATTTTATAATTTATCATTGACATAGTTAATGATAAATAAATAAATATTTATGCTTCACATCATCTTCATATCATCGCACACAGTCATGTGCGATGATATTTGTCATATTGATAAAGAGATATATTTTGTTATGGACACCTAGCATATAGCAATTTCTAAGAATTTTGTTTGAAATTTTTGTATTAAGTCCATCAAAACATAAACGAGCTTCATTGTGTACTGAAATAAAAAAATATATTTAGATAAATTTAGAAAAATGATAAGTTAATAATATAAACTAGAAAAGCTAATAAATAGGCAATATATTAGAACATTACTCATACATGAAACCTATAACATATTAATTGTAATTATTAGTATGTTTAGTAAGTTTCTTAGAACTATAAGTTTCTATATGTTGTGAATATGTAATCTATCGATCGGTAATTTACTTACTTCAAGATAATATAGTGCGGCGAACATATATGATACACCGAAATCTACCTCATAACTACATAAATCCAGATACTAAATCATATCAAATTATAATGTAAAATAAAGACAATAAATAAATATGACTTCATTACATATCATGACATGGACAAAACATTCTAGAAAGATTTTCGATACAAATAGGCACAAAAGCCTATCTTCATTGATACAACAATAATAATTATGTTTTGTTATTAACGGCATCGGTGGTTTTAGCACACCGCCTTACTATAGTCGCGGGTTCGATACCTTGCACGGTACAAACATTTTTATTCTTGATTATGATTATTTGTATCTGAGCGTTTTCTATATATATATTATGAATATATAGTATATTGTGTAAATGCAAATGTTAATAAATGAAAAATTATGCACCCTGGGAAGGTATGTGACATCTGAGATACAATATAATTCTATACTAGTTCAGGTGGCCCAATTACACTTGTATGTTCAAATTGTGTTTACTCTTATGTACAACGTAATTATGTAATGCAACCTAAAACTATAATTAATTATTATTATTATGTATATACAAAAAAATATCTAAGTATTTATATCAATTATCTAGTACCTACCTATAATATAGTACAAGCTTGGTTTGGCTTGGGGCTAGATGGCGCTTTAGGAATTGTCCTGAGATATTATTATTGATCACGTTATCTATTATTATACTAGTATCATTTATAGTGATATTTTATAATTTTATTTCAGAAGGTGTCACCAGCTTACGAAAGTGAAAAAAGAACTAAAGTAGTCAATGCGTTTTTCCCTACTGTGTACAATGAACAAAAGCATGAGCAGCTTATTACTTAAATATATGTTGTTTATAAATATATATATTTAGTGTAGTACGAGTATGTATAAGAATATATTAGATTTGAAATATTTTTTAAATATCTGAAATAGAAACATATTAGAACAACTTCAATAAAATTACTTATTCGCATATCAATGACATGTTTGGTTAAGTAGCCTTAAATTTAAATTATTTAGTTTCCTGGCCTCTAATTAAAATGTCCATTTTAATTTTAAAGCTATCTCGAACACATAGATCTTTTTTACCAGTAGATATATGTACTGATAGTGCCGCACTAAATATATACATCCGAACAAAATAATATAATTGTATTCAAAAATATTATTATGTATAAAAATATATTTGAATGAAAGTAATATTTTTAACCACACACGTGTAGAACGCTCACTATTAAATAATTTTAATTTATATTTAAAACACATTTCCTGGTGAAATGTGAGTGATTTCGTTAGAAATATTTATTGATAAAGTTTAGGTAGGGATATCTTACTTCAATTAATATTTGTTCGTTTATTTTTGTATATGTAGGTATAGATAGTTATTACAATATTGTAACAAGACTTACAAATCGTGTATAGAAACGTATTCAGCATCTGAATGTAGATACTTATTTATCAATAGAATGAATAATGAAGTAGAAGTTTAAACATTGAAGTAATAGTTCAGTTTAAACACATTTACTATAAAATATGTTTTTATAACAAATAACTTCAATAATCAAATATTATCGTGCATTAGAAAACATGGAACGGTAAAAAACTTTTTATCTGTACTTTACCTATATAATCTGTCATACTGGTTGTATTTACCTAAAAAAAATATGATTCACACGAACATATCCATGTATTAATTGGATTTTTATTTATTTGTTACCAAATATTTATCATAGTTAAGATTATAATTAAACCATATTTAACTACGTTATAAAGATATCATATCTTCTTTGAGTTGTACTTTAAAAATTTGGAACAATTTATTATTCTATCAAAATCATTATTTATTTAAATTATGGCTTAATTAAGTTGTAAATATGCTTTCGTGAAGATGTAAATTATTTATTTATTACAACAATTAAAAAATAAAATGTAATTGCCTAGTGTTTCATTTTAAAACCTGCCTGATAATCTATACATATAATAAACATGTAACTGATGACTATCGTACGTATAGTACTGTACCTACGGTTGATAACAATATAACGTAATAGAAGTTAAACTGCTATTAAGTTATCAACCCAATAGAACCAAAAACAATTATAGTTTAAATTTTTGTACGTGTTGCGCGTCTTTTTATTTCATAAACATTTTACAGTTAAAATGTTTCTGAAATTATTATTTGAACTATAACTGATTTTGGCGTAATTTTCACTAATGCATTGAGAGAGAGAACTTCAATTAAAATTTTAAGTTTGTTTTATTGAACTGGATTCCAAAATATTTTTAAATCAGTATACCAAGATACATCAGTGTCAATAAGCGAACTAAGCTAGTCAAGAAAATTAATACAGTACCTAAGTATAGCGCTTTACTGCCGATGGTCGCGGGTTCGATTTTTCAGCTAGTCTAAACACCACAAGTGTTCATGAGTATGATTATTTTTATTATTGTATTTACAGAAAAAAAATACATATTTATATCAGTTATCTGGTATGCCTAACACAAGTTTGGGATTGCTTGGCTTGGAACTAGATGGCGTTTGTGAATTGTCCAGGGATATTACGTCTTCTGCAGAATAGCTGTTTCAACAATAACCACCTTCCTTTTTAACCAGGTTTCTTTGAGTAACTAAAAAGCAGGTTGACTGAACAATTTGCTATTGTATCTTTTTCTTTTTTCTTATATTTTCTATTGTGTATTGTTCTGTACTGAGATATGTTTATAGCATCTTTGTAATCTGCAAGTCAACGTACAATAATGCTATCGGTGCATAGAACGAAAATAGGTAAAATAAAATAAAAGTTTCTCAAATGAGAATAATTTGAAAATTAATAAATAAAAATTTAGACAAAATATTTACTTTATTCAATAACTATCAGGATGTCGACTAAAACATTACGTAAGTAAAATTATTTTATTCATCTCAATATTATATAAATTCGCTAGTAGTTTCGACTTGGCCCTGAAGTTTTCAAAATACCTGAAATAAATGAATACCACTATAACATTCCTGTTAATATTATGAACACTTTGTTTTCTTTGTATTTGCAATTTATTCTATACAAATATTTACAAAAAGTTTTTAAATCACAACAGTGGCAAAAAAGTATACGGCTCTTCATTGAAACAACAGGGGTGACACTTCCAATAATGACTAACTTATATATATATCGCTTTGTATAATTTGTATTTTGAGATATAGCAGTGAAATTACAGTGTATATAGGCAAGACATCGACACTTGAAGGGTACAGCGAACATAACATGTGTGTGATGCTGTTTATGTATATAGGCGACAGTTGCCACTAATATACACTCGCAATACATAAAAAATGGAAGCAATATAAACTGGTATTGCTCACCGTGATCACCGTCGCCTTCTTCGGAGGGTAGTGGAGCTTCCTTAGATTGATCCACAACTGGGTTGCACTCCAAACATGGATCAAGCTCTTCTTCCATCATATACGACTGTATACGGAAATAGTGAAAGTAGATATGTGGGTTCCAACTTGTTCTTATTGGAAAAACTCAAGAAATACTCAACTGCTTTAAAAATTCTAATTATTATATAAAGCTAAATGTGACTGTTGTGACATAGCTGATGTTTGACTAACTTTTAGCAGAGAGCCCTAATGTTTTCTAGTAATGAATATACGCTAGTTTGATCAGGGCTAATATAACATTCTATTGCTAAAATATGTTGGCAATGAATTCAATAATAGCACTAGTACTGAAAAACTGCTTTTTTAAAAATATTAAATCATTTAAATAAAATAAAAAGATTTTTAAAAATGAAGATGTAGTTAGTGAACTAATAAAATATCAGATACTATGTGCTCGCGATTTTACCCGCGTGAAATTTATAGCTTATTCTGTTGCTTGTGTGTAGGCTTATGCTGTCTGTGTTATTCTGTTGTATATAAGTTATTGTAAACTTTCATTAAACCCCATTCAGTAGATTTTGTCTAAAACAGTAACATACATCCATCGAATGGATGGATCCACAGTGACACTCATACAGTTCCACCTTTATAATATTTGTAAGATTATTCCAAGCGTACTTTTCCATCAGAGCCATATCCAGTGAACCGTTTGGTGGGTATAGACTGCAACTGCAGTGGTAGCGCTTGTCGATGTGTCACCGCATCTGAGATAATAGTATGGGAGCCTCCACACCAGCGATGGCATACGTGATCCCTAAAATCATATCCAAAAGAGGCCATTCTGAAATTATCACACAACTCGACAAAGCTTAACAAAATGTATTTTTTTATGGATGATAATGGAATGATACACCCCGACTGCGCTAACAGTTTACGCTGATGGGGCACCAGTGGGGGATGATAAAGGATGTAGTCAGGTTAGTAAGCCCCTCTACTCAATTGACATTTTAGTCCACATTACTACCAACCCCTTTTCCCAAAATGTGCTTGGTTTCATTTAGGGCTCTCCTCCTCCCATCCTGCATGGACCGATCCTAGATTTCAAGGCATCACATTTCAATTTTAGTATTAAAACACTTAACTACAAAAACGTGATCAGCTGTGAGGAATAGGGGGACAGGTTAAAATCACAGAAAATGGTGTGACATAATTTTTTGTTTAATTAAAAAGTAAATAAGTAGCTTAAGTTAAACGTAAAAGTTTTGCCAATTCCCTAAAATTTTCTAAAAGACAAGCGATTCAAAACGTTTACATGATTTATCCAAGTAAGCCTGCATTAGCACATAACGTTTGAATATATGCAGTAGTTAGAAAACTTATTGTTACCCCTATTTCACATGCGTTTTTTAGATAAAAGAGACAACCTATACGCTTATACATAATATAAATTTTCATTCAAATCTGTCGAGCTTGAGTTGTAAGAAAATAAAAACGAACAGACACATATTCATTTTTACAATATTATTTAAATCACGAAGTTATTAATGACTATATTATTATTACCTATCATCCGCATATTCAGGCAATTTCCACTCTTTCAGACAGAGTGCGGACTCCTCAGCAGGGGCTCCGGTGGGTCGCGGTCTCAGGGCAGGCAGTGGGGGCGGCGCTCCGTGATTTACCTCCACGGCCTCCATCAGGGCCGGTACCATGCATGCGCCGCAAGTAGCATCTCGACATATCTTTCGTGTTAGAATAGCAGCCTATTACCGTAATTTTGACAGGTTAGGTTAATTGTTCCGTTTTGAGTAGGCTGAAATAGGTCACCCTAAGAGCGAGAACGGACCATCTACTGAACGGGCCAACGCCGCCGAAGACGCGGTAGAATGCTAACCCGACCTCGCCACTCCGACAATAACGCTTGTATAAATATGTGGCCTTGAGGATTCTTATTGGGTAAGAATCTCAAGAAGAAGGAAGAAGGAGAATAACAATAAGAATATCTCTGCCGTGGGGACGGTATTATAAAGTTTTTTTCCAAACGATAAAAAAAAAGGTTAGTTGTTGCGTTTATCAGCCGGAGTTGAGGCATAATATGTTAGAAAGATCGAAAGCAATGAAGTAAGAATATTTTGAATTTATGTCAAAATATATATAAAAAATATTAACCTTTCGAGCCAATATTATCAACAGAATGCTACCGCGACCCCGGGACTTCGGCAATTACTGCTCCAATACTCCCCACCGATCACCCTCGGTCAGTATATATGGTTTTCAAGATTTACACACACCACACCTTAAAAATAATTGTTCAGAGCCCACAAGCCCAATAGTTATCACAATGGATGGAATTCCGAAAGGTCTAGTGGATAGAAATCACTCAGTATCCAGTTGCTTGCTAGTATTAAATTACTTAAAAAATACTGCTTATAGTTTAGTATAGACCTTGGGTTCGCCAAGTGCTAACGCAAGTACGTGCAACTTCTCGTGCAGCTCCCGTAGCTGCTGTTGTGTCTCATCTTGGGTTGACAACAACTGCATCAGTTCTGCTTTCTTGCCAACCATCTGAGACAAATCCTTTATAGCTTCCTGTCAGAATAGTAATAGATTTATCCAATGATACTGTGTTTTTGCATGGGAAATAAATTTATTTATTTGTTCCATATCTGTTATAAAATACATATAATACATTCTAAAAAAACTAATTCCCCATTATTCAATCATAATTTCTAAACTCATATAAATACATAGAGAAGATAGCAACATACCATCCAAACACTGTCCTGTTTATAGAACTTCTCATAGCAGATTTCAAGTCGCCTGTCTAGTTCAGCACGAGAGGCAGCGAACTCCAATTCGCTCAACAAACCAGCCAGTCGTGAATTATCTGCCTATAAAATTAAATAATAATAATAATAATCCTGGACAATTCACATAGCGCTATCTAGTCCCAAGTTAGCAGAGCTTATGTTATGGATACAAGACAACTGATATACATACTTATTTTTTTTGTAAATGCATAGGTACATAATAAACATCCAGACCTAGATATAGGTACATACAAACAATCATACTCATAAATAGAATGAAAAGAAGAACTAAGAAATTATAGCTTAGAACCATCTCCATCCATTCATTTTGAAGATACCATACTAACATCCCCACTGGTGCCACAGGGTATACCGTTAGGGCAGACGGATAATGTACCATTCATCCATCACCAATAAAAAAATGCGACTTTAAACTACTTGGATGCCCCGCGCTAATTCATTTACCTAATATCTTCCAAGTTTTTACATATTTTTTCAGTGATGATAATCTATTGCTAAAAGCGTGATGTTATATATATGACCCACTACTGTAATTGTCGATAAATGTACTATACTAAAAGTCAAACTAGCTAACACTTAAAGCATTTTTCGTTTTGGAATCACAGTGCTCAAGATTAGCGTTTTCAAACCTTTTAGCTTTATTTCGTTAATATTGATATTTGACTTCAATCTAAATCATTAAGTTAACTGCTGTCTCCATGCATAGATTAAATAATCACATTCTACAGTAATAAAATATTTCTATGTGGTATATCATAATGTCATCACGTGACATGAGTTGTTACTTGACTTACTTTATCTCTAAGTCCATCCAAAACCTCATCCCGATCAGCTTTCTGTTCTCTTAACATTTCTACGCTGTCCACAAGACTCTACAATTAAAGAAATTTAGTTATTAGAACACTTTGTTCATTATCGCTGTAGAAGAGAGTCAGCGCCGTGACCTAACAGTTTCTAACCCCAACTAATCATATGATATAAAAAAATATATGATATTTTGGACTAACATTCCGATCATGTAAACAAACTAAATTAATATATACCTACGGCGATAGGTTCGCCCCGTTGCCACTATGACTTCAATATGCAAAGCGAAAAATTTGTATGTGATATTTTGCTTTCACCACGACCTTAACAATTAAAGTCTTCGATCCTGATCTACACTAGTAAAAATTATTTATATAGGTATTACATTATTTATATTTTACCGTTTCCCTCCATTAAATTTTATCATCTATTTCAATTATATTTTATACATAAGATGGCTATCCTGTGTGATAGACGTCCGTCCTCGTAAAGACTAGGTTACGAAGATCAATATGTCAAAAATTCATTAAACCATTCAGTCGTTTAGTTATAAAAGAGTAAACTGAGAGATAAACACACTTTCGCATTTATGACGTCACAGTAAAATGTTTTCAGATAAATACATGTAACTCATCGCCAAGTTGCTTCTGGAAGCTGGTGAGCGATTTATGCAGGTGTAATGTATGATCCAGCTCGGAGACCAAACCCCCGTAACGCTCCGTGAGGTCCATCACCGCTGCGCAGTTAAAATAAATTATTCAAAAGAGTTTTCGTCTTTAGTACACATTATTCATATGATTAATCGGGTTTTAATACTGTTTTAATTTAATATTGACATCGCTGTACCCCAGTCATGTTTCAGTGATAGTCAGCCAGTGCAAACAAGTCGAAACGTCGCGAGAGATAAATTTTAATAGACCTTTCAACATATAATTATTCGTGTTAGGACCCGACTAACTTTAATAATAACAAAAGAATTTTCAAATATTAATTCAATTTCAAGAATTTTAAACCTGTCTTTGTACGAGGTGGATGTAGTGCAAATATATAGGGTCAAAATTCTAAAACCTGTCGTTTTGACTTCTGATCTTCTATTGAAGACAGACAATATCTTGCTTTCCAATGGTCGCAGGTTCGATTCTCACTTGGTACAACTATTTGTATTTATGCGTATGATTGTTTGTATCGGTCTGGGTGTTTTCTATGTAAATTATGTGTATATTTACAAAATATAGTAAAATAAATTTGTCATAATTATTAATTCAGCGGTTTAAGTGTGAAAAAGTAACAAACAAATTCACTGTCGCATTTGTAATGTTAGGATAGAAATAACTCTGTTTCATCAATATATGAAATATATAATAATATCTTACCTACTGTTTCAGCATTATTATTTACTTGCTCGAGCTGTGTTAGTCCATCTTTTAAATCTGATCGCAGTTGGTCTATTTGGTCTTGGAAACCTTGCATCTAAAACATTAATATATAGCCATTAATATATAAAGGGATATATAGCGAAATAAATCATGTATGGGCATATCGTAATAATGTGCGGTCATTATTCCATTCCTGCATTCGAGTCTATTATCCAAATGTGTAAAAAAAAATTGAATATCATAGAAACTAATTACCTGAGTAGAAAGTCCGGCATCGAAACCACTGAGCTGTTCTGAATAGTCGGATACGAGTGAGTGTAACGTCGATACACGCGTGTTTAACTGTACTGCCACATTCAGCTTTTCAGCTATAAATGTAAAAACACATGTTTTTAACATTCAGAGATGTGTGTGTGAGAAGTCCACATGTGATGTCGTTTTATGGGGTAAAGATTATTAATAATGGGAAATAGAGATTTCAAATTCCAAAATCGAACTCCACGTCATCGCTCTAAAAAACCGTAATTGTAGATTTCCCAACAATTCCTAGTGAATTTACCACGATGGGCTAACTGAACTGACTTCATCCTCCACTGGTGCCCCGTCAGCGTGTACTGTTAATGCGCTAAAACCGTTGTAAACATTTCCATTAATTTTCATTTATTAAAAAACAAGCTACTATACGCAAACAGTACCTACCGTGGAATTCAATACCATTCATTCATTCATTCATTCATTAGTAATCTACTTATCTATACACATAAACAAAATTGGAATGTCTGTGTGAAATAACCGTTTTTTAGTACATGCATATGAATATAAATAAGATGAATACACCGAAATAACATTTTTTTAAATTTTTGTCTGTCTGTCTGTCTGTCTCTTCGTTCTGGCTAATCTCTGAAATGTTTGGACCCATTTTGACGGGACTTTTTTTTTTGGCAGGTAGCTGATGTAATAAGGAGTAACTTAGGCTACTTTTATTTTAGAAAAATTCATTTATTTTAGAAAAATAATGTTAAATTCCACGCGGACGAAGTCGCGGGAACAGCTAGTATTTAAATAAATTTAACTATAAGCAGTTTTAAATCTGTCCTTTTTCCATCCGTTTAATCATAATATAAAAATAGTATTAAGTAGATTAAATATTACACCAATCTAGGTACTTTTTATTTTTATAGCCAAGGTTTTGTAGATAGAATAGAAGAAAATATATACTCGGTACTTGACTAATATTAGATTGTATAAAAATTGTTAATAACATTATATGAACCTTTTTGTTGCTTTAAATAAATTATTATTATTATTATTATAAAAATAAGCTAACAAACTGATTTCGCCATAGACACTGCCATGTCTGCGGCTGCTGAAGCTTTCGAGACTATTAGATTTACATTTCTTGATAAATCTTCTTTTAGAGAACGGAGAGCATCACTAGAAAAAAATAACATTTTCTTATTAAATGAGTTATTAAAACAGTACTACACTATTGTGTATGTAATTGGTAGCGTCACCGCTTCGCCGCGAAAACTGTGTATGATAAATGATAAATCTATATTAAGAAACGTTAGAAAACTACACTCCAAATACTCGGATTTTCTTACCTTCTATTATTTTATTTTAATAAAATAATATATAGATCACATTATAATGCGTTATATATTACGTCGTTTGATTAACGTTAATAGATGTTTATAAATGTAGCCGACTTTGTTTGTTTTGTTCTTGTGTGATTAACTTAAAAAAACACTAACTCCATCTCTACGTGAGTAACTTTAGGCAAAGATGACAACGTTGGCGCGGTGGAGAAGCGTGAAGCTAGGGATGGCATCCCGACTGAGGCTTTGAAAGGCGATACCACCGACTGCGCAGATCTCGGAGCAACTGACTTGATCGAAGCCGGGTCTATAGCTACTGATTTACCGGGAGTTATTCGAGATTTATCCTGAAAAATGGAGTGCTTTTGCTTAATAATAAAATTACTTTGATGTATCTTTTTAAAAAGAAGATTAAAGGCAATGAATGATGGTAAGAAGTAACCGTCGTTATATATTAATAGTATTACAGACATCACATTATAATATGACACCCGTGACTATAATTGAAATTATGATCTAAAATAAGAAAGAAAATATTTTAGACGGCTTACGTCTGATGTGTCCAACGGTAGCTCAAATGCGTCATGCGTCTCTATGGTGTCAGTCGGCTTCAAAGTGTCAAGTGGTTCAAACTGAACCTCTACAATTCTGTTAGCGAAATCTTCGGGCAGAGCACCTACTGCCGCTAGTTCTGTGAGTAACTCACTCATACGGCCAATAGCTTGTTCAGCTGCTTCTACACGAGCTTTCACCTAAAAATTATCGACCATCTAAGCATTGATACGCTCTCACTTTTTTCAAAATTTATTTTCACTGTTTTATGTAGATTCTTCATTCACCAGACACATGTAGATATTTGTCTGGTGAAATGTTAGAAAAAAATATAGAAGTGAGGTATATACACCCAATACATACCTGCTGATATTCTGTTCACTCTTATATTTAAATCAAGTCGATTAATATTTCATTTTTTTTTATTATAAAATACAAAAAATAGCTCCTACCAGTGCCTTATTCATTGTAACTAAGATAATTTAAATAGCAAAGATTTACTAAAGTATACTAAGTTGTGTTATTGTATCTGGATTACGTACTTGTAATCTAGACAATTCACAGATAACTTAATAGACGTACAAACATTTAAATAAGCATGTTTACCTGCATAGCATTCATGATATCTATAAGAGAAGCACTGCCTTTAGCCAGTTCGGATCTCAGTTGTTTGTTATCCGGCAGTGCTGGTGTTGGCAATGGACCAACATTCTTTTTTAAATCATTCACTAAAGCTTCGAGGATTTCAAATTCGGATCGTGTAACCACTTCTAGGCTTTCACGTCCTCGCGAATCTACCAGTGGTAAATATATTAAAATAATGTTTATATAATTAAAGCGTATTAAATGTTAATACAAGCAAATGGCAAATATTATTCGGTTTTGGTCACCGGGCTTCTTAAACTATGGTAACCACAATAATGTCTGGCGCGCCCGTTATACTTGTGAAGAGGCGCTGCTTGTAGGGACTGGTCTGTTCAGATAACTATGCATAATTTTGTTTTGTTACTCAAATAACTATTTATTTACTAACGTAAGCTTTAATATTTGTCACCTACTCAAAAAATAAAAAAAATATAACTGAACAACATTTATGTAACTTAAAGAGACCCAAGATTATTGCTCAATCTTCTTGTGGTAAGTCTAAATGAGTTAGAATAAAAAATATGACGATTTAAAAGTGCTTATATTAAGTTTATTTGAATAAAAGTTACTTCTATCTGTATTTCCACTATTACTAGTAATATAAACTGTCAAATCGGTCTCTTCTAGAAATTATTTTGTATTATTTAACGACTATAATATATCAGGTACCTAATCCTGATAAATTCATAAACATTCATCACTAATCAATCACCATATCCAACGGAATGTTTTCCCTATCTTTTCGTTCTTCTTCTGTCGGCTTATTACGACTTCCTAGTGATGAACAACAGGATCTATCGTGTTCTCGTAATTTAATCTACTTATTTACTAACTAGCTGGTAGCTGTACAAATGACTTCTTCTGCGTGGAAATTAGCTTTATTTTTCAAAAATAAAAGATTTTTTCTAAAATAACGGCAGCCTAAATTACTCGTTATTACGTCAGCTACCTGCCAATAAAAGACAGGATTTTATTCATCATCATTCAATTAAAATCGGTTCAGACATTTCAGAGATTAGCCGGAACAAACAGACAGACAGACAAAAATTGTAAAAAATGTTATTTTGGTGTATGTGGGTACCGTATTTATATTCATATGCATGTAGTAAAAACCGGTTATTTCAATATTACGTATAGATATCGGATGTGTATACATACTTATATTTGTAAATATTTAAAATACGTTAACATACCAACACGTGTCGTTGGCCCTTTCTCAACTGAAAGTCACATAAACAAATTAGTAACTATAGGTACTGAGCAAATATTAAATTTGACATATACGTACAATATTTACCTACTAACACCTTCTCTTTTTGTCGCTCCACCTCTGAGGAAACAGAAATCAATAAGTAAACTTTCACAGGCATCTTTCACATCTGGACCTACTACCTACTAATACGTCATGCCATACCGACAATTTATAAACAAGTGCACGTCTTTCTGATATCCAAAATGATATTAAATCTATCCAGTCCTTTAAATGTAATTTAGTAACAAACATTCTTATGTCATACAAACATTGATTAAGTGTATGTACTGCATTATACAATAATTAAGTAAGAAAATTACAACCTGATATAACAATACTCGTTCTTGATCCAACCCGGCTTTTACCTTTCTAAACAGAAGAAAACATCTTAAATTTTCTGAACTTTAATGCAATTAGAAAAATATATCATAATTCCTGCGAACATTAATAAGCTCAATGGAACCACAAAGTTATTCCTTACTAGCTATGCTCGCGGTTACACCCGCGTTAAATTTGTGATTTGTGCCTATGTGTTATTCAGATGGTAAGCTATATTATTGCAAAGTTTCATTAAAATCCTTTCAGCAGTTTTTGCGTAAAAGAGTAACAAACATCCGTCCATCCATCCTTCCGCACTCACAAACTTCCTCGTTTATAATATTAGTAAGATTTTAATTACCAGAAATAAACTACGTGAAATATATGAGAGGGCTCCTATCTCACTTACTTTAGCTGCCTAACAGCTTCTGTGTAAGCTGTGTTTAGATTTTAGGGAGTGATTAGATAGTGAAATTACAAGTGAACAGGACATGATATCTTAGTCTCTTTAATCACATCTTAGCCTCGTGGAAATCACATGCTAACGTGATTTCCGTAGTATCTTTAGGTCGGCCGTCAGCTTATTTGTCATTCCAAATACATTAAACATTACACTACACTATACTGGTCATCGCGGGGTTGGTTCTCGAGCGTCATTTTTCATCATCAATTATTGGTTCCCATCGTCACTTGAGGTTTCCATTCTTTAGGCGGTATTCATCACTATTGTTCTTCTGCTCCATAGTTTTGTCGTCATCAAAGGCCCTGCTAACACTCGCTAATCGATTTAAATTATTTATAATAGAGATATACCAGAAATAATAAATACTAAGTGTAACATGTAAATAAAATTGACTTATTCGATACATAAAATACGGATACGTATCGAATAAGTCAGTTTTAAAATTTTAACCTTATCACGTTTTAATTTAGTTTTAGCCGCCATCTCCGCTAATTCTTTATCTTTCTGCAACAACTTCTCCTCCATATCCCTTTCTTTTATTGCTTCTGTTTCCATCTTTTCTCGTTCTTTAGGTGTTACTTTATCCGACTTTTGATATTCTTCTTTCTTTTTATATGTAGTAGCAGTTTTGTCAACCTTATCTTGAACTTTCAATTCCTTTATTTTATCTTTAATACCACCTTGTTCTTCTCTTTCCTTTTCTTTCAGTGTATCTTTTTCGTCTTTTTGCTTATCCTTTGTAGCATTTTTTTCAGACCTTTCCTTTTCTTTCCTCATTACTTTATCTTCAGTTTCCTTTTTATCTTCCCCTGGTCTTTCTTTAGAAACAATATTTGCTTTGTCTTCCCTTTCTTTGGAAATAGCTTTTTCCGCTTTCACTTTTTCCTTTGTTACAACCTTTTCCTTGTCCTTAACAGTTGATCGCTCTTCTCTCTCCTTTTCCTTTACTGTTACTTTTTCAGATTTTTCTCTGTCATTTAACATTTCTAGTTCTTCTTTCTCGTCCTCCTTTATTAGTTCTTTCTCACTTTTATCCCTTTTCTTAGAAATTGTCTTTTGTTTTGCTTTTTGCTTGGTACCCTTTTCACTTTTTGTCGTTTCATCCTGTTCTTCTATTTCTATTTCCTTATGTGTACTTTTTATTGCTGTATCTATTTCTGTATATTGTTTTTGCTCTCCTTTATAAATGGGTCGTTCTGATTTTTCTTTCTCTTTATCTCGTTCAGTTTCTTCTGAAATCTCTCCCATACGGCCTTTAGAAGTATGAGGTCGTGAACTCTTACTAGATGAGCTATCAGTAGATATTTCTACTTTTTTAGTCTTTTCTCTTCTCTCACGAGGTGATAGATGCTCTTCAATTCTGACCTCCACCCGTTGTTCGAGCATGCGCATTTGTCGTGCAAGAATGTGAAGAACTGTCTGCACTAATTTGTAATTTATTACATTTTTCTGTAAATAAATTTTATTATAATTTTATTTATTATACTTTAATAATCTTTCTCAGTGATTTTATATAGCAGTTTTTAAACTTTTTTGGCAGTTATAAACAGGATATTTAAAATAAATATCAGGAGCTCATAACTAAAATATTATAATGATAAATATTCTGTTCCTGTATGTGTATAATAACTGACAAGCTAAGTTCCTATTCAAAGGTTCACCCTTCGAAACGGAACTTATAGTAGCCTGTCAGTAGTACAATACGCAGTGTTGTTACAAATTATGAGTCTCAAACGCTGCCAACCAAGCAAAGTCAATCATTATCCCAAGTAGATTATAATTATTGATTAAAACCTCTACACTTCTTTACGTAACATGGCTTAGTCTGGTAGTGAATAGTTCATGATTTGCCTAACAGTTATCATAAAAATCAAAATCTTTGTATTTACATCTGGTGGACCCATAGCTCTATTTATCAGATCTTCTACACTCATTAATATCGTGGTATCGCTCATATTAGGTTCATCTCTATACTTCATTTTGGGTATAGTAAAATATAATCGCAATTATAAAAAAGTTAAATTTCTTTCAGAAAATTACTCTTGATGAAATTTCATTATTTTATATTCTGTTAAGAGCTGTCACCGTAAGAACCGTAAGTCACTGGTAGACTGCCAGTACCTATGTACTTTCTTTATGAGATTCCTTCTTAGACATTCAACAAAATTATATATAGGTATTGAATATATAAAAAGGTGAATGATTAGTACACTTAATAGTACCTAAGCACTATTTAATATAATGTTTCCTTTATTGATAAATATAAAGTTTCATTTGATCAATAGACTAAAAAATACTAATTAAACTAGTAACGATTGCTCGTGGAAGTATGTGAAAATACAGTTGCAGTGACTTTTTAAATAGATCAATATATTAGTTGTGGAAAAAACCACAATACTGATTCAGAATCAGCAATGAATAATAGTATATCTGGCGTTTAATTCCTTTATTTTTTTGCATGTGTTAACTGGGAATTTGTTGCACCTGAGATACAGTACAATTATATACTAGTTCAGGTGGCACAAGTATTACTATATGTTACATTTTCTAGGTATTATTCTGTTACTATTTGGTATTCGATCTATCCGACTGCTTTTATATTATTCGGCCGACTACCCATTATCTACAAATAAACCGAATTAGACCGATTTTAGACCGAATGCTGAATACTTGTGTAATGTATTTTGTTCTAGTGAGATAATTGGTAAAATGAAAAAAAATAACGAATAATTATTATATATTATATTTAAATTAGAGCATGGAATAAATTAGTGAAATTATATAGAGACAAAACTAGTCACAATACCACACATTGAATGCCATATATCGTGTCAAGCAAAGCATTTTTATAAATGAAACAACGATATACACTTTATATTTTTTTATTATTCATAACTTTCTTCACCTCTCAACACTTAACGTCACAGAAATATATTATTGCGCGGATATATTTGTACACATTGAAACCAAAACAACTACACTTACGTAGAATGTGCACTCACTTGTAACATAATACTGAATATAGATAATCGTTTTAATAAAAAAAAACTGAAACAAGTCATTGAAAAGAATTGTTAAATTTCCATACAACTAAAACAACGTGGAATGCAAGAGGGTACTCGATATTATCGACGATTCATAAAATATCAATGGGCCAAATAATTGATTGTTAGTGTATATAAATAGTATATTTATTTAATAATAATAAGAATATAAATAACAACTAACTGCATAGAGTCGCGCGACCGAATGAGACTAACCGACGTTGGAAACTGCGGGTAACGTATTTAGTGCCATTATTCGAGCGCGCGCACCTCGCTGAGAATCTACGACTCGATTGATCAACAATAGCATCACGAATATTTGATTTGAAACGAGTAATATAAACCTATGCACTCTACATAGACTTCAACACGTATTATTACTAAGTATTAACAAGAAATGTCAACTCGAGCGAGCTATATTCACCCCTTAATTAGGCTTTGGGTGATTCCAATATATTATTATTTAGTCCATGGTATTGTTTATTAAATATGTAATGGGATAGTTTGTGATTATAGCCCCGTTTTAGATGCCGCTCGTCTGACGTGAACGCGCCAGTATCTTAGTCCTCGAGGTTACGGAAGGCTGCTGACATATCTTCGAGGAGTTGGTCAAAGTCTGCCTTGATTTTAGCCTCGCCGTCTTTTACTGGATCCTGTAATAATAATTATTTATACTATTAACTTCTTACAACAATTTTATACTTGATGATTGCTAAGACTGCAAAGTCTTATATACAATCCAGGTCTTGAGATTCTGATTTCTTTTTCAATTGAGCCACAATTGATCATAGATAAAAATATATTTCTATAATTGCTCTAATTTCGACCTACCTAATTTAGACCTAAATATGCCTCCACACTGATACCATGATACAAAGTTTCATAACGCAATATTTATTTTCGTATTTACAAATACTTCAAAAAAAACTTTAAAAAATTTTCGAAAACATCGGGCATTACATAGTAATTAATTATAGATTTTTCTGTAAATTGGATTACATTGTCAACGGTACATTTGTAAAAATACCAATTAGTAATTTTTTTGTAAGTGTTAAAACAAAACATACTTTAAAAAAATAATAGTATATTAGCGTCAGTCATTCGAGTGAAAAGGAAAGACAGAGTGAATGGTGATAACAACTAACCTTGAACTTCATGGAGGAGAGCTGGTAGAGGACATTGCCCATAGCGTCGCGGATGACATTCCAGGTGACCTTGTTGTCTGACTGCGCGGTCGACTCGACGGCATGTCGCGACATGTCGTAGAACGCAATTATGTTCTTGAGCATGCCCACCGTCTTGTAGAACGGGCAGAAGCGATCGTACGCCGAGTAGCTGTTCACATATACATACATCATTAAAGACTTTACTATATAAAAACATCAATAAGTCAAAGAAACTTAAGCCAGAAAAAATAAGCCAACACACTCCACATAAAAAAAATCATTATCACACATAAATATTGCAGATTAGATGCAGATGCCAGTTTGCTCAATGTCGACTTTTGCCCCCAAATTTCAACCAAAATATTCCTAACTCAAGTTTCGAGTAAAATTCCTTGGGGGATTTTGATTCTATAAATCCTGATAACATGTATCTTTTAGACTGCGTGTTTTTGTTCTTAGTTTATGTATTACAAACAAAAATAATATTTTTATAACATTACGTTAGAGGGAACGGCTCACCTGTTCTGCTGGAGGAAGTCGTCTTTAAGGAGCTTGGCAACCTCAAGGGTGATCTTGTCGGTCTCAGCCAGCGAAGCTTTGCCGACCAGCTGCACGATTTCAGACAGATCCTCTTCCTCTTGAAGGATCTCCTTGACCTGAAGAATAAAATGTAAAAGGCTTATTAATAGTTCTTCATTCTCGTATATAATATTTTTTTCATATTATCGATTGAGCTAGAAACAATTCCAAATCTCTCGTGTTCCAATGTCCAAATGAGGTTAAGACTTGTTTGAATTTTAGACTCAATTTTGGAAACTTATAAATCCATATTTACTCCAGAACTTTGTTTTAAAAGTAATCCTTGCTTTTTATTTGAAGTAATGGTCATAATTAGAGGTACTCTCTAATTATGACCATTACTTCAAATAAAAAGACACAGCCGTAGCATAAACAATATTATAGGTCTTAATTACTGTTACATTTGTAGGTTTTTATTGTTGATATAAAGACAATCATTTAAATTATCTGATGAATTTTCACAAGATAATTTATTAATTAGTACACATAATAAATATTGATTTGTACATACCTTGGTCCTGAGTGGTACAAAGTCGCCATAGTTCTTCTCATAGAAGTCATCCAGCGCACGCATGTACTTGCTGCATAAAACAAAACACAGAAAATTTAAATAAATGGGTATATATAATTATTCTCAAAATTCATTATAATTATACAAAGTCATACAGTTTTTCATATTTAGTGTCAGACACTAAATACATATGAACAACGGGGTCATGTTTAGTGTTGTAAATAACATAGAAGACAATCAACAAAATCCTAAGATATATTTTAACTAGCCGCCTCGCCTCCTCGCCGCCTCGCCTAACAAGATTACAAATATACAAGGAAAAAATATTTGCAACGGTAAAGCAGATGATAAGTGGCGACCGTCGCCATATTATACTGATGTATGGAGCACCACATAGATTATTTCATTATGTGATCCCAATGGTAATATACCCCTCTAAATTCACTGCCATATCTCACTCCCGTCTCACAGTTTACAAAAACCTGAACACGCAGGCGAGTTGGTTTAGTGACTACCACAATCAAAAGAGTAAGTATATATAGGTTATAAGTCATAATAAATCACCTGTATGAGATAAGCCAGTTGATGGAGGGGAAATGTTTCCTCTGGGCAAGTTTCTTGTCGAGACCCCAGAACACTTGGACGATACCGAGCGTAGCTGAAGTGACAGGGTCGGAGAAGTCACCACCGGGCGGGGATACGGCACCCACGATGGATACGGAGCCTAGCAAAATTAAAATGTAAAAATTAATCAGAAATCTATCAAAAATTACCTTCTGTTAAGGAAAGAGAACATATAAAAAAGATTACGGCAGATCGTAGAAAATAGTAATAGCTCCACCGACAAAATAGTAGCTCTTAATTTATTAATGAATGAAAGAAAGAATAGTAAAGTTATTATTTTTAAATACTATGACTGTTTATGGCCAATTAAAGCTCAACACTATTAAATGTGCGTAATAAGTTTGAATTTTATTTTTGTGTGCTGTTTCCCCTGGAAGCCATCATGATAAATTTCTGGTGAATTTACCACGATGGCCTACTGACCTAACTTCATCTTCATATTATCATCCTCCACTGGTGCCTTGGAAGCGTTTACTAGCCCAGAAGGGTGCACTATTACATAATAATAAACCTTATGAAAAGATATTATATATTAGATAGGTTGGACTGGAAAAGATTTTTTTATAGTATAGCTAGCTAGACAAATGAGCTTGCGGCTGACTTAATGATGAACGCCGCCGATAAACACCCTCAACACCAGGAATATTGGAAGTGTGTTGCCACAAGGAACAAATTCTTATCTTGTAGGTTCCAATTTCGGTTCGGAAATACCATAGGTGGAAGGTGGTCCCACAATATCATTCAGATAGTAAAACGTGACTTACCTTCCCTGTCAGGGTTGCCCATACACTTGACACGGCCGGCACGCTCGTAGAAGGAAGCCAGGCGAGCACCCAGGTAGGCGGGGTAGCCCGAATCGGCAGGCATCTCAGCCAGACGACCGGAGATCTCACGCAACGCCTCGGCCCATCGAGACGTGGAGTCAGCCATCATGGACACGTTGTAACCCATGTCACGGAAGTACTCGGAAAGTGTGATGCCTGCATACACATATATACATTATATTTTTTTATTGCACTATTTACTTTATTACTTTATTGCACCAAATATAAAAAAGAAATTAACTGGTACAAAACCTGGTCTAATCGCTAAGCAATACATCTAGTATTGAAATATACTGTTTGTTGCTCTCTGAACTGTTTATATTTTTAATATAAATAACTTATTCTTTTACAAACAAGGCAAAAAAATTATTTTCTTTACTAAATTTAAGATTCAGTATAATATTGGATACTAGTGGCCCAAGCTAAGCAAAGCTTTGTTTATTTAAGCTTTGCATTCCATAATTTTATAGGAGATAGATATCTATCTATATATATATATATATTGCTGTATCTAGGTATATCTAGGTATAATTCAAAGCAGATTAATTATGGACCCTGTTGGCCACAGAAAGCGGAAAAGCTTTGTCTAGGTGCTGATAATGTTGTAATTTGCATATTTATTTATATTTACAATATAATAGAATAATTTCATCAATCAGTGGAGTGGTAATAAAAACTATCTTTAGTTCGTTCGTAATTTCGAAAAATGTCTTTTATATAATTTTATACAATACTAACATTAATGAATCGCGTACAAAAAGTGAATTGATTAATTTTTAGGTTTCCATAACTAAAAACTAGAACTCACCCAAAACTATACAATCAAACTTGTGAATACAAATGTTAGTTTTGTGCGAGTCTACTCAAAACTGCTACTATAGGAAGTAAGGCTGTGTGGATAACCACCAAGGTCATCATATATTACGATAATAGTATTTAAGTTAAACGATATACTGACCAGTATAGATGGAGGCCTCACGGGCAGCGACAGGCATGTTGGATGTGTTGGCGACCAGAGCAGTACGCTTCATGATAGATTCAGTGACGCCCTCGATCTCCACAGTCAGCTCGGGGAAGTCCCGCAATACTTCAGACATTTCGTTACCTACAACGACATTTTTATGTACAATTGTATATTTACAAAAAAAAGGACTGGGTTCTTTGATTTAAATAAATCTTTTTTTTTAGTAAAGGAATAAAAAAAATAACAAATGTTCGTAATATCTATTCACAAATTACGTAACACATATTTCATGATATTTTGACCCTTTTTCAGCCCTAGTCACGGCTTATTAGACTCCCCCCTCCCAAGTGTGACGTCACAAAATTAGCTATTAGTAGTAAACTTTTCACAATTTAGACAAAGTTAGTAATATTTTTAACTTCCTCATTAATAGTCTAATTTCTTCATTTAATACTTAGATTGTTACACTTTGAATTGTGACGTCACGAAATTTTGAAAGGTCTCTCTTGTCATATAATGGTCACTCTTTGTGGTATTTTGTCTTTGTTTTAAAGGTTAGAAAAACCGTTAAACATACCTCGCTCTCCGCAACCGACGTAGATGATGACGTCAGAATTGGAATACTTGGAAAGAGCCTGTGAGATGACAGTCTTGCCACAACCGAAGGCTCCGGGGATGGCAGTGGTACCACCCTGTACGCACCTATTATAAACATTTACGTTGTAAATTTACATTAGTTTAAAATATGCAAGATTCTTGCTCTTTCTTCGTATGACGTGACAGCTTTCCGAATGAGTGGCAAATAAAATAAATGCATTCAAAGATTCTTAAATCTAAGTTTAGTTGAATAAAGTAGTATTATCATAAAATGGAACTAAATGTACTAACATTTAGTTCCATTTTATGATGATCATCACAATTAATGAAAGCTTCTGAAGCTAATATAGCATGCTTCCTGTCATACATATTCGAGTTGAAACGTCGAGAATGGCTGGAAATACCTTTATTTACCATAAAATTATTCGTGTTATTACCCGTTTAACAATATTAACAATCGCAGTGAATAAACATAATTATACGTACGGGAAAAGTGAATCAAGCACACGCTGTCCGGTGAGCAGGGGATGGTTGGCTGGCAACTTCTCAGTGACGGGGCGCGGCTGTCGCACCGGCCACACTTGCAACATAGTGTACTGTGCCTTCTCGCCGTCGAACTCCGTCTCCAGTACCACGTCCTGTACAAGCAAACAATTGTATATAGAGAAATCTAAATATTTGAACATTTGATGATAAGGTGGGTCTATTTTTAGACATCTAGAAAGAAATACACTACGTCTATTACAGCTTACAGCCCTGGTCCAGTTTTCTGGTATGTTATAAAAGACTGTCAATAAGTGAGATGTTTCAAAATATATATTTTATGGCATATTTATTTCTCAATTTTGTCACTGGAATTTCAAAAGCTGATGGCCCACTTGATGCGAGGAGGTAATCGTCGCATTTGTAACACCCAACCGAAATCAACAGAGGACTTTTTACAAAATTCTACCTCCGTAAAAACAGTCCAACTTAACCAATAAATAGTAATGTTTGTCGGTTAACTTTGTGCCACGGACATCTCGACATTATGTGACGATCGTGATTACCTTCATTTATTGCCAATGCGGTGGACTAAATCATGCCTTTGTATCTACTATAGATATATAATATCACTGCCATATCTTTTCCACCGAAAGACAGCTTATAAACTTACTGCAGAAATTGTTGAAACAAAACAACGCGACAATTTATTTAAAGGTTAAAAAAACTCATTTTTCAAAGACAATCATAATACTTCAGATCTTATTAAATAGAAATAGTAATAATCATACTGCCGCACTAAACAAATAGAGCATTGTTATCTTGGATTCGTTTACATTAAACCTGACATACTTACAGTGACTTTGTAATTGCCTGAAGGCGCGATGTAGGTGACGGTACCCTTGGCCTTGGGCGGCATCAACATCTTGTGTTTTACCAGAGTATTCTCATGTACAATACCGTACAAGTCTCCGCCGGTAATGTGGGACCCGACCTGAAGAATAAGCGACAACAATTATTCTCTGCGCCACCATGGTTGACTGGTAGAAAATTCCGCATGCTGTTAAGACCGCCAAATTGATCGTACTATATTTTTGTATTGTGTGCATTGAAGTTAAATAATAATAACATTGTGATTATTTTTGTTTTATGTAATTGGAATATAAAACTAAGTATCTACCTGATAGTAATCAATAACCTTCGCAGCACTGCGGATAACACACCGTCCGGTGGCAACCGTAACACCACTCTGGCGTTGCCATTTCAAACTAGACTCGACTTAAATGTCATACTTCTAATCCTGTAATTTCACTGCTTAATCTACACTCTATACAACTGAAACACAACTTAAAAAACAAGCTACTAGGCGACTGAAATAAGTGAGACTGAGGAGAATAAACATACTGTTACCACATTTAATTGAATAATTGAGAGATTTGCATAAAACAGTACGGTGAAGAAAACGAGATAAAGCAGGCTTTATAAATCTGAGCAAAAAGCACCTCTCGATTCTGGAATCTCATGATCGGATTCATTTGCAAATATGAACTTTAAATTATTGTGGAGACAATGTCAATTCTTTTACAGGATTATTAAACTACACACGCCGACTCATCATATTTGACGTAAATGGTCAAATCGGAAAATGCAAAGAAATACGCAATAAAGTTAGGTGTGTATTCAACACTTGGGAATTGTAAAAATATAATAACATACACAAAAAAAAATACAAACAAACCTTGATATTCAATGGGTTGAATTCCCAGTCGGTTTCTCTAGCTAAGCATGGCACGTTCACACCCTTAGGAATGTAGATGGATTGTGTCAACTCATTGATGTCTTTCAATGGGCGCTGGATACCGTCAAAAATGGAGCCCAAGATACCGGGGCCCAGTTCCACAGAGAGTGGCTTGCCGGTACGCAGTACTGGATCACCTACTGTCACACCAGAGGTTTCTTCGTATACCTATTGATAAAGAGACAAAGTCTCGGTTAATACTTTCCTATCTAACATTACACAATACATATCAGTAGTACAAATATTTCAACATTGACATTCTAATTAAAATTATACCTACATAGTTACGTAATAGTCAGGTCTCATCAACAGCGCTGTTTCGCAGAAAGCATAAACGTTTTTTATGCAATTATTGTAGGTTGGTAGGATGGTATTTTTTTTATTGAAGGTTTTGGGCTATAGTCAGTTAAGACCTATATACAACTGATGGTAAATCACAACTGCCGCTTATACAGGGTTAGTCGGAAATGTATACTAAGCCGCAAGGATATGAAAATCCTAATACCTATAATTAACAACTTTTGCTCTACTACTTTCCCTAAAACCATAATAATATAACGTTTTAGAGATATATTCAATTTTTTTATTTAAAAATACAATAACAATAAAAAAACACAATCGTAACATTAGCTGTCATCAGCCCTTTCATAATAGAAAAATTAGAATCCTGCTTTTTTTAGGTACGCCCCTTACTACCTACCACCACTAATCAAGATGTCCTGCTTTTTTTAGTTACGTCCCTTACTTACCACCTACCACCAATGAAAAAGATGTCGGCTGTTAGATTTTTTATTAAAGAATAGGGTTGCCAATTCTTTGTAATAAAAAATTATTGTTCAATTTTGCACGAATAATAAAAAATCTCTTTCAGAAATAACACGCGTAATCAATTAGTAATATGTTACAGCGCTAGTAGCTTAGTACACCCTTTCCAAATAACCCTATATATATTAACAGACAAAATAAGGTGTATGGCTTCCACACTCTGTAATTATCCTTATCTCATCCTTCACACAAGAGGAGAAGGGGATTGCGTAATGTGAACTCATGACCCATTAATAGCAATGTACCATGTCAGTTTAACCTCAACGCGGTTCCCCCTGATAAATATGTAAATATACCCCATTGTAATTATAGGTACAATAAACAAACCTGAATGGTGGCAAGGTCGCCCTCCAGTCGGATGATCTCTCCTACCAGCTCATTGTACCCGACACGCACCAACTCGTACATAGCTGATCCGGACATCTTCTCCGCCGTTACGACTGTTAAACAATATTTATATATTTGTAGATCAGCCTATGGCCATATCCCTATTTTAAAATACGTAGTATATAGTAGTTATTAAGTGAGGTGTATTTTTTTAACGCATGAGTCTAAGTAAATCACGAAAAACATTTTATTGACCACTAGTTAATTTATTTCGTGGTTGATATTTGTCACATAATTCAAATATGCTGAAGCTCAACATGATGGTAAGTGATAACCATCAACTATAGGGGGGAAGTAGATTGTTAGTAATGTTGACCCCATTGCTAGCAATGTACCATGTGGAACTTGTCCTCCATGTAGTTTCCCCTGGAAAACATCATGTCAAGTCTTGGAGAAATTGTCAAGATGAGCTAACTGGCCTGAATTAACAGTGCCCCCCACTGGTGCCCCACCAGAGTAAACCGTTAGCGCAGGCAGGTGCATCATTCCTTTATCATAAAAAAAACTGTCGCTAGAGATGTTGACTACAAATCAACTAATCATAATGATATAATAAATATATCATGATATGTAACCATTAAAATATATATCAAATGAAGATAATAAAAAAATAACTTTGTTTTATTTTCCCAACATAAAAAAAATTACATCCTTTACACAACTATTGTCTGTGATCTATAAATTTATTAAAGATTTTTATAGTCCAAAAACATTTAAATTAGATTAAATATACTATTTAACACATCTCCATTTAGGCCTACCCTCATTAGAGCATTATTGGCTAATATAAGGAACCAAGGTCAAAAATTTCGAATCTCAGACAGCAGACTCCTAGAAATTAAAGTACAATTTTAGGGACCCTCTTAAAAAACACAGGTCTAATTTCAGATAATTTATTTTAATACTGCCCTGAATAGTCCACATTTTAATGATTAAGAAACACTGCCCTAGCCATTACAGCAGACAGATGATTTCAATATATATATTTATTATATCTTACCGGGTCCAGATACAGCAAATACATAGCCAAACTTCTCCTCATTCTCTTCATTGGCGATTGTCTTCAAACCGCCTCTAGCCGTCATTTTGTTCTAATGAATCTTTAACCTGTGATAACAAAACATTAAAACTATTATACACAAAACATTGTCAATCATTTTTAAATTTAAAAAAAATTAAAATACTAGGATGGAAATATTTTATCATCACAAACAAACATTAGGATAGATGTATGAACATAATGATAAATTATTATTATTATAGGTGATTTTTCCAATACCAGCGTACTGTAATGTGTTATGTATTAAATAATGTTGGTTCCTGAACTTTATTACCCTGGTAATACAGGTGAAAGTAAAGATAGGGTCATAAACAAAAATAATACACAATTAAGCATAGTATTTAATATATAATATCCAGTATTTAAGACCACTTCACGAATAGTGAAAATTCTAAGCTTATACACTTCCACATAGTAGTACAACTAATCAGCACTAACTGTACTTGAGTCTAGTAATATATTATATAATAGTTCCATTCTTCAGCTTTCATAAAATTGTGTGAATAAATATTTATTTATTACCTCTATAACTTAAAGATGTATCACAGTGACACTATTTTATTCTGAGTATTATTAAATTATTATAATTTAATATATTAAAAAATATATATAATATGTCTTAAAAAGAGGTCCCGTCATGTATATGTTAATAATAAACTCATTTTTACAGAATACTAAAGCTACTGAATTATTAGAATAAAATTGAGAGTGATCAGCTGACCCTTATCAAGATATGAGTTGATAAACATCATCAATCAATGTCAATTCAAGTTTTCTTTATTTAATTTACTATCATCATCACCATGTCTTGACACAATATAATTTCCATTACCATTTTGTAACCCATGTACTTATTCGACTTACTATATAAAATCCTATATCTATGAGATCTGTACTCAGATTTATGTAAGTGTCATTTGTAAGGCAGACTTTGTCACAATTATGATCAAAGTAATGACAACCTTGATTGGCAATTAGCGCCCTGCTTTATTTCTAAATGTAGTTAGTGGTTAGTTTAGTTTGTAATTATGAATTTGTAAATACAAAACTTATAAAAAAATTGACTACATGTTCGAATATGGGTTGGGTATCAATATATACTGCATATTTAAGAAATACTTGAATTAATAAATCTATGAGATGGCTGGTACCAATATTACAATATCTCAATTTGGAAAAAGAAGCTGCTGTATCATATGACAATGGATATTTCTAATGTAGGTTGGTTTAAAAGGTACATATTGTAATTTTATTTATGTTACATTACATATGAACACTTTAGAAACCATTTCCTATTTAAATCTAATTATTTAGTATTTTTCTGTCATAAATATTACTAACATATTTAATTAAATATTGTCTTTACTATTTGTAAATCTGTGCAATTTTTACCCCAAAATATACTAATATTTCAGATTACATGAGATATTACATTAATTTATATTTTTGGTATTTAAAGACGTCTCTACAAATTACTCAATAATCTAGTCCCTAATATAACCTAAAGTATTGCTGTAGAACATATCCCACTTAATTTTGTTAGACAAAGATAGACCAACAAGATAAACGGCATTAAGAAATAAAAGATCTAAGAATCAACAGCAAGGTGATAGAAATAAATAAGCAAAATAGCCAAGATTTAAATATGATGAATAGTCACATGATTTTTATTGAGGAATTGAATGTGAAAAATATATTTAAATCTAGACAGTAAGTCGTGACAATAAACGTTTTAAACAGTGTACAATTCATAATCTAATAAAATAAATCTTAGAGCACAGTAAAAATCGATTCATGAAACAAATAAAAAGAAATGTAGGAAAAATTAAGACCATTAAGAAATGTCCATAGGCGTACATTGAACAATCTTACCGTAATTTAATAGCGTTGCAAATATATCCAAAGCAAAAAACACAAGCACAAGCAAATGCTTATAACATAAAAAATATATATTTATTGTAATAAAATTCAACTCACGAGACGAGAAAGATAGAATAGGCGAACCGAGAATGGCGGAGTAACAACTTATCACAAGACCAATGATAAAATTTATGTCAGCTGACCTGACTCTATGCTTCTTTGTCTACGGCTGCATTTTCATTGATTTTGGGAAAAGTATGGTTTACATCAATTAAGTTAATGAAATGATTTAGTAAGTACTTAAGTAGGTCGCCCACAGATGATGATGCTCACTAATTTAATCAATTATAAATAGGCTACATAGTTTGTTAATAATCTATATCCCGCACACGTTATTTATTTCTCAAATTCGTAGTTTATAACTGACAAATTGCCATTTATAAAAAAAGGAAGAGAATATTATTTATACTCTGGCTCGGGCTCAGTACTCTGTGTTCTAAGGCTATCTGATCTGACGCTAACTGTCTGTTTTACTGTATTACATTTCATCTGTTTTCAACAAATAGGTACCTATTTGACAAAATTAAACTGTTTTTTGTATGTTTTGTTTTAAATTTTTAATCGTTATTAATATTTCACTTTTTGCTTCGTAAAGCAACTAAATTATCTGGCATATAGACCTTATAGCATTAAATGTATGTTATATGTGCTTACTTGTGAATCTGATAAACAATATGTAATCAAATTTTATAAATCGACTGTTTGTTCTCAGGAATCACAGCGAAATACAACTAAGCAAAACGTTATCGTGGTTGTTACGCCACGGAGCTACTAAAGAAGGTCTTAAATTGAAGTAAGTCGATTAACAATCAATTTTAATAAGACATCTTTTCTTTCTGATCGTACAAATACTACGTGCTTGACGCAGTAGTATCTGTTATACTTGATAAAGCAATGTTTAAATACCACACACTTTTCCAATGTTTTCTTTGTTTTTTTCAGTAGCTTGGAATTTCTGCCAATATAATCTTTACGAATTGACTTCTGTCAGTCCTTGCGAGTGGCGCAAGAAAGACTAGTATAACGGTTAAAATTTAAAGCCATTGTTTAGAATTCCATTTTTAAATTATATATTTAAACTGGCTTTAATTTATAGCATTTTTGTAATTCAGTTTTTGTTATTTGCCGTCTCATATAAAGAATAATGAATAGGTAAGAAAAGTCCCCTCCTCATCTTGTACTTCAAATTAAATTTAGAAATGTTATGTTTTCTCCTTGATATAAAAAAAACTCTTAGTCATTTTAAGACCCGATGTAGAAGTAATAGAGTAGTGACTATGAGAGAAGAGGGATGGAGCTGAAGGGTTAAGGAGCAGGTTTCACTCCTTATGAAAAATACCATCCAACCATGCTGCTTTGAAGAGTAGAATGGTATTTATTGTCTACTGAAAATTTGCTTTGTTTTGTATACTTCTTGCCATTTCACAGTCTGAAGTGAGTTATTATTTCTCTGTGAGGTTCCAATGAGGTGTTCATATCTATCTGGAAACCTCGCAAGTAGATTGCTAGCAATAAGTCACTTGTTTTTACATTGAACAAATGACCTATAATGTTATTCTTCTCCTTAGAGAGCATTCATTCAACTGCTTGCTAATTTTTATCTATCTAATATTTATTCAGATCTCCAGGTATGTTATCAGACATATTTAAAAAAATAGTGTATAATTTACCTTTACTTTTCACTTTGTAATGTATCATCTAATACATAATTTATTTTGCATATATATTTCTGTAAAAAATGTACTAATGTGATAAACTGATTATCAAGATGGCCATCATCTTGATAATCAGTTTATCACACTGCCTTACTTCAGATTATCTCTAGATTATCCCCCACACTGAACAAATATTTGTATTTATGCATATAAACTGTTTTTATTGATCTAGATGTATTTTGTTTGTATATTTACAAAAGAAAAATATGTTTATATCTGTTATCCAGCACCCTATAGTACAAGCTCATATTAGTTTTCATCTAGATTGCGCTATGTGAGTTGTCTACAATAATTATTATGTGAATAGGTTTTGAATTCTGAGTTTAATGATGTACCTATCCATTACCACTCAACTGATACACATGTAAAAATATAGTTGATACAACACTAATTTAGCAATTTTATATCAGGGATTAAAAATCTTATTATAGGCCTTTATATTTCAGACCCGATGGATATATAGACATAAACCAGATATTGCTACATAAAAACCTGAGAGGAAAGTACAACAAATCAGATATTGAAAGAGTGGTAAACTGTAATGATAAAAAGAGGTTCAACTTAAGATTGGACCCACATACTAATGTATTAGAGATCAGAGCAAATCAAGGGCATACAATATCTGAAGTCACTGATGCAGCACTGACACCATTATTAGAGGTATCTATGTCTTTTAAATTATAAAAAGTTTATAAAAGTATACTTATACCAAGGTAAGAAAATACATTCACAGATTTTGTCTTTGTGTTATAATAACATTTCAGTAACATATTGTGTTTGTTACATTCTGAAGAAACAATGAGAAAGTTAAGATTAAAGGAAAGAGTCTCATGTAGGCAATAAAAACTACTGAGTAATTGCATCTAATACTCTTTATGTATGATTCCTAAATTGTTAATTAGGGGTTTTATTTTGTTGTCTACTTATTAGAATATTTGAAAATTAAGAAATTACTGGTATATGAAAAGGCATTAATAAAGTAATTTATTATCTGTAGATAACAAAAAATCCTGTGGAGACTGGGACATTACAGGTTTGTTTTTACAAATTTCATTTCTTGCAATGTAACTAATGGGGAAATGAAAACAGCCATCTACATATAAAACTTGGGTAGTTACTGTATTTCTGCAAATTCTTTTAATAGTTGTGTGTAGGGGGATTAGATTGCCAGTGGTACCTAGGGCTTGTGGCTCCATTGCTAGCACTATACCATGTTAGGTCCAGTTCCTCACCAGTGACCGTTTCCAGTGGTGGTTTCCAGGATGTATCCTAAAAACTGTTATGGTTTATTCCTGTTGAATTAGATACGACAGGCTAAGTGACCTAACTTTGTGCTTATTCTATCATTCTCCACTGGTGCTGCGCCAGCGCATATCGTTAGCGTAGGCGGTGTACATTTTCATTATCATCCACTAAAAAAATGATGTATATGAAATAAAGTATAATTTCGTACTAAATCTTATTGTATGTTTTGTACTAACATAATAACTTATGTGTTATGTTTTTTAATATCAAAACTAATGTTTTACTTTGTGTTGTACTAAATAGATTAAAAATATATAATTGAAGTCATGTTTCATATTGCAGCCCAAGTACAACACAGTAGTTCATGGTACATACTACAAATACTGGCCACAAATAAAATGCCAAGGCCTTAGTCGAATGAAAAGACAGCAAATTCACTTTGCTAAAGGAACTCTTCAAGATCCTTCAGTAATCAGTGGATTACGTAAAAATGTACAAATATATTCTATTCAATTCAATTTATTTACTGGAACATGTGTACATAATGGTCTTAAGATTATAATAGTTCCAAAACATGCCCTGCCGTTTCCGGCGTGTAAAATCTTACAATAATATTTATTACATTTACATTATTATCACATTATTATATTTAAAATTATTAATACAATACATTATTATGAAATTATTTTATTTAAAACTATTAATACAATCCATTATTATCATTTAAATAATCATTTGTGGAATAATAACATTTATTTAATAATTCTTTAAATAATTTACTTTTAAATTGTTTATTATTCAAATTTCTATAATTGTCTGGAAGATGATTAAAAATTTTTATGGCCATACAATATACGTTATTTGAAAAAGTGCCAATCGTTGTTTAGGGACATATAGCTTGTATTTATGTCTACTTCTACTTTCTGGAATGTCACAGTTTCTCTTAAATATATGTGGGTATTTGTCAACGAACATGCACATTTCATATATATACAGACAAGGAAGTGGGAGAATATTAAGTTTTTTAAATAGTGGTACGCAGCTGTCCCTTATATGCGCTCCACATAGTGTTCTGATACATTTTTTTTGTATTTTAAATACTTTTTGGAAGTCTACAGAATTTCCCCATAATATTACACCATATCGTAGTAGTGACGAAACATAGCCATGATAACATGAAAGAGATGCTTGTAGGGTAGCAACTTGTCGAATTCTTTTTAGTACATAAACAAATCTATCTAATTTATTTATAAGCTTGTTTATGTGAAAATCCCATTTTATAAATTTGTCGATAGTTATTCCTAAAAAAGGGACACTATCTACTCTTGGTATTTTAATGCCATTACAAGTAATTTTTAAATTAATTGGAGCACTGTTATATGTCTGAAATTGTATTAGATTTGTTTTATTAATATTTAAATTTAAGTCATTTGTTGTAAGCCAACTTTCGATATCCTGAATAGTATTATTAATTTGATTTTCATAATTATTTTTATTGGAACATTTAACTAAAATTGTAGTGTCGTCAGCGAAAAGAATACATTTTTCGTCAGTAACATTTGGCAAGTCATTTATATATAACAAAAACATTAATGGTCCCAAAACAGTCCCTTGTGGAACACCTCTATTACTATCTCTATAATGATGAAGCGTGCGCAAGCGCAGCGAGCGGACGTGTTCACTTACTTCTTATCTTAATAAATAAATGTAAAATAACTAGTGACAACAAATAACAACACTAAAGTATACTAAATCTACGGAAAGTGTATATTATCGTACTGTGTGATTAATCGTTACAAAAAAGTGTTATAATAGTTTTGTGATTAATATATCAGACCGACAATTTATCTAATACCTGCCATTATTAACATTCAGTATGCAACGGTCACCACAAAATAAGCGTTATGAATCAGATCCTGATTTATCAATCCTCACATCAAGGAAACGTAAAAATGATCATGATATCAACGAGTCTTTCAGATTATTTACTGAAAACGTACTAAAAAAAATGGAAGACTTGAAAGGGGAATTCAATTGCAATCTATTACAAATCAATGATACCCTAAATAATGTTATCATAAAAGATCTAAATAACCTAAAAGAACAGACCTTAGAACTAAAAACAGAGGTCAACAACATTCGTAAGGATTACAGTGACATAAAGACCAGCTATATGAAGTTGGACAGGCGTCAAAATGAAACACATAAAGAAATTGCCACAATTCAGAAAGCACTACAATTTACCTGCGAGCAACAAGATGAATGTACAAAAAAATTTGAAAAAATGTCTAATACAATCAAAAGTGTCGACTGCTTCGAGGAAGAGATCAATAATCTAAAATTACAAAATCGGCAGTTAATCTCAACAATAAACACAAACGAACAAAGAAATAGGCAACTAAATATTGAAATTGTAGGTGTGCCTGAATTTACCAATGAAAATATAAAAGACAGTGTCATAAAAATTGTAAAAAGACTCGGTATGGATATTCAAGCAAGTGACGTTTTGCAAGTAAATAGAATCACTCCAAAAATAAAACTCCAAGGTCGATCCAGAGTGATTGTAGCTAAGCTCAACTCCAAGTTACTTAAAGACAACATCATTTCTCGTGCACGGAAGACACGATTGACTACAAAAGATATCGATTTACCAGGCGAACAGAAACATATTTTTATTAATGAACACCTCACTCCGTACAACAAACAGTTATTAAAAAAATCTAAAGACCTGGCCAAAGTTAAAAAATATCAGTTTGTGTGGATAAAAAATGGCAGCATTTTCATACGAAAGGACGATACTGCACATGCAATTCAAATTTTTACCGAAGAAGATTTAAAAAAGATCAGTGCATAACAATAAACAGTTATAATACTTCCTATTTATTAGTGATTCAGAGTTATTTTTGTCTATATTTACAACACCGTTATTTCAATACATTATTACCTAACATTATTATTCGTTATTCGATTAAAGTAAAACACAATACACAAGTAATATCGATGATTACAGTAAAATCAATAATGTTTTTATTAAAAATATTTGTTCAGCTAATACAGTCTGTGTATGCTGGCTTGGTCTATGACTGTTATACACAAGTACACAATAGTATCGTAAGTTTTTACAAATTACAATTTGAGTGGTGTCTTTGTAAAAGTATATTGGCGATATATATTTTCATATACACCGTGTACATCCAAAGACTTTATCCATCTTATTTTTTAGTTAATAAAATAAAATTGATGTACAATAATCTATCTCTGTGTACACTACATAACACATATATATACATTTACACTGCAAGCGCGGATAGTATTAGAACGCGAGCAATGGTAATTCATTACATGACTCACTCAAGTATTGTACTACGGTTGTGCACCGTACCTATAACCGCCAAAGTATATTGCACTAAGAGGAGAACGTCAAACTATAATTTCTTATTGCAATACCCTCGAGATTCGAACAAACATAAATTATTGTGCGTGTATAAACCGTTTAAAAGATTAACAATATTATTTAAAATATATTTTTGTACTAATAAAATTATTAACTAGGAACTGTGACTATGATAAACAGTTGCAGAGTGTATTTGAATGGAATGGCAACCAACCAAGGCTAGGTAATGGCTTGGAACACTTATTCATTATATTATCATTATATATCACAGATGAGAAAATGTTGCATGTGTTACAATTTTGCGATGGATACTTAATAATACGACAAAATCATAATCATTACTATTCTATTTTCGATATAGTATGGTTGAACGAGTTGTTTTTATGCCTGATGCAAGTTTACAAAACTTTAATAGCAATATTAAACAGCGCTGTTTGTATGTTTGTGCATACTATCGTAATGGTGGGTTTTAAGCGATCTTTCATTTTATTTATTGTATATAATTATATACAAATAGTGTTAATTATTGATATTTTCTTGAGTTTATGGAAACGGGTTTTGATCACAGTATTATATTTAAGTTTCTACATTATAAATTCAAGTATAAAAATCTATAAATTATGTGTCCGTCATGAGATAGATAAACTAGTAATAAAAATGGATTATTCATTCCAAACAACAGTAGATGATGTGTTCAATCGTATATTCGGTAATCAGCTGTTCAACACTCTGTATAGATTACTTTTTAAATGTGTGTGTCACTACACAGTAATTGTTAACTCTCATATATACATACATAAATCATGTCATTATACTCATACAAATAATTTACTTTTAAATAAATATTATTGGAGTATTAGTCTATCACAGTGTTGAGTTCAAAAAGCAAAAAACCAAAAAAATTTGAGATATTCTACCAGAATACTCGCGGGATTCGTACTAAATGCCTACAACTACGACAACAAATCTTATGTAATGAATATGACATTATTATCATAACCGAGACATGGCTACATGAGGGAATTTACGACAGAGAATTTTGTGATGAGCGATATGACGTTTTCCGATGTGACCGTGACCCAGTATCAAGTAGAAAAAAAAGGGGAGGTGGCGTAATGATATTAGTTCGTAACGAGTTATGTGCCGCCCTCTGCGATTTTACAGAGCATAAACCACCGTCAGAGATGGTAACGATAATGATACCAGCGCGAGCGCTTGCGGCTACCGCTAACTTATATATTACTGCGGCATATATTCCACCTAATTCTGAACGTATCCCTGTAGATATAGACATCTTATTGAGAAATGTAAAAACAACTATAGAAATTACACAAAACTTTCAAAATTATTTAGTGATTGGTGATTTTAATCTACCCTGTATTACATGGGACATCGATGGCCCTACGCATATAACTACAGGTAATATTGATGTTCAGAGGGCGGGCAAGATACTGACAGATGATATGAGTTTGCTAGGCTTCAAACAATTTAATACAACAAAAAATCATGCCGGTAACACCCTAGATTTAGTTTTCTGTAATCTCCCTCTTGATATAATAAATTGTAGTTCACCGCTTGTTAACATTGATGGCGCACACCCAGCACTCTCAATAGATGTCTTAGATCTATCTGTGACACCATTAGTCGAAGCAACTGTACCTAAATATAATTTCAGATTAGGTAATTATGAAGAGATTAATACAGCTTTTAGTACAATTAACTGGGACTCGCTATTTAAAGGTAACTCAACAGAAAAAGCATGTGAAACCTTCTATGGAATTGTCAATGATACCATATGTCAATATATACCGCTTAAGGCCAAACATAGTACTCACAAATATCCTATCTGGTATAGCCTCGCCTTAATTAAAATTATTAAAGAAAAATCTAAAGCGCATAAAAAATGGAAAAAGTATGGTAACGAAATGGATTATGATGAATTTGCATTCTTACGAAAACGTCAACATCGCGTACAGATGAATTGTTTCTCGAGTTTTACTAAGCGAACCGAACAAGCAATTAAATATAGTTCAAAAGCATTCTGGTCTTATATTAAATCTATACGAGGCGGATCCAACTATCCAAAAAAATTTACATATGGCAAAAATGAGTTTACAGACGGTAAACTAATTTGTGACGCATTTAATGAATTTTTTGGAAGTGTATTTGGTACACCCTCAACCGATACAATTGAGGCGGAAGAATCTATCTCTTATAAAGACAATATTTCAAGATTATCAATATCTGTTTCAGCAGTTGAGAAAGCTTTATTACATCTGAATGTATCAAAAGGAGCTGGATGTGATGGTATACCACCGATATTTTGGCGAAACTGTTCTAAAACTCTAAGTCTCCCGTTAACAAAAATTTTTAATATGTCTCTTATCGAGGGTATATTCCCTGATGTTTGGAAAAAAGCGCATATAGTACCAATACACAAAAAAGGAACCAAAATAAATGTAGAAAATTATAGAGGTATATCAATATTAAATACAGTGAGCAATCTTTTTGAAAGGCTGGTTCTTGATTTCATATATCCAGTCATACATAAATATCTACCAGATTCTCAACATGGATTCCTTAAAAAGCGTTCCACTGTCACCAACTTGACATGCTTTTCTAATTATATCCTAACTAATATGGATAAAGGTGGTCAAGTTGACGTCATTTACACGGATTTCGAGAAAGCATTCGACCGCGTGGATCATCTGATCCTTCTGGGAAAACTCCAAACTCTGGGAATTCATGGGGACTTGCTTAGATGGATTGAATCGTATCTAAACAAACGCTCTCAGGCTGTTGTGATTGGGGGTTATAGATCAGATTTTATTGAGATACCGTCAGGCATTCCTCAAGGCTCCCACTTAGGACCTCTACTTTATAATGCTTACATATTTGATATTCCCACTTGTCTTACTTCCGTGAAACATCTAATGTACGCAGATGACAAAAAAATATTTCTTAAAATTGACAAATTAGAAGACTGCATAAAAATACAATCTGATCTAAGAGCTCTATTTCGTTATTACTCTGATAATAAAATAACAGTAAATATCAGCAAATGTGAGTGCATCAGTTTTACCAGAAAACCTAACCCTATTACATTTTTATATAATTTTAATGATGTCCCTATAAAGAGATCTAAGGTAGTAAGGGATTTAGGAGTCTATTTAGATAATAAAATGTTATTTACAGAACATATTGATAAAATTACCAATAAAGCGTATAGAAATCTTGGATTTATAATGAGAAGTAGTAAATCTTTTAATGATATTAACACCATAAAAATTTTGTATTACGCTTATGTCAGAAGTACTATCGAGTATGCTAGTACGGTTTGGTTCCCACAGTATAATATTCACAAAGATCGCTTAGAACGTTTACAGAAGATATTTATAAAAAATCTAAATTACCGATTTCGTAAGCCAAATTCAGCTGTTTATAAGGATAACTGTAAACAATACAATATATTGACACTTGAAGATAGACGTAAGCTGACGGATATCTGTTTATTACATGATATAGTAAACGGACGTCTCGATTGTCCAGATTTAGTATCGAGTATATCATACAATGTACCAATTAAACGTTCACGACGCAACACTCCACCATTACTACACATACAAAGAGCATACACCAACTACGCAAGGAACGCGCCACGAATACGACTACCGAAGCTGTATAACGATGTTTTTAGTGAAATCGATATATTCAGCATAAAAAAGGTAACATTTAAATCTAATGCTACACAGTTATTACTTCGTAGAAACTAACTAGTAAAATTTGCATAAATTAGATGGTATAAGCATTATATTGTATAAATTAGACTTGTGGATAAACAGAACAATAATATGTTAATACTTTAGTGATGTAATACTGAATATTGTAATTGTGAGAAAACCTTTAATTGGCCTTATATTTAAGTACATATTATTTGTTATTATTTGTATTTCGCTGTTGGTTTTCAAAATAAAATAAAAAAAAAAAAAAAAAAAAAAATGAGATCTAAACGTCATTTTTTCTTTATTTATCATATTAATTGCAGTAATTTCAACACGTTGATGTCGATTTTCTAAGTAACTATTGATCCATTTTAGTACTACACCTCTAATACCATAGCAATATAATTTATCAAGAAGTCTGTCATGGTTAACGAAATCAAAGGCTTTACTCATATCTAGAAAAAGAGATACTATAGGAATTCGTTCATTTAGACATTCAGTTATATATTTAATTAAAGTAAAACATGCAAGTGTCGTAGATCTGTTTTTTATGAAACCAAATTGTTCATTTTTTAAAATGTCTGATGATATTATAAAATTATAGAGTTTATTATACATGACTTTTTCAAATACTTTAGACAGAACTGGAGGTAATGATGATAATTGTCTAAATTATTGCGATTGCCTTTTTTAAAAAGAGGTTTAACTATTGAGTATTTCAGACGTTTTGGGAATTCACCTTGTGTAAAAGACAAATTAATTATATAAGTTAATGGATGTGCTAAAGATGATGCACATTTTTTTAAAATGTTTGTTTTTATACAGTCATATCCTGTTGAATTTGTGTTTTTTAATGCTTTTATGATTTTATAAATGTCCTCTTCTGTCACTGGCGTTAAAAACATGCTTTTACTGTTACTAATAATGTTATGTTTATTTGGTCTATGTATTTTGTTATTATTAATATTTGTAATGTCAATGAAGTATTTATTAAATAGGTTTGCAATTGAATTTAAGTCATTGTATTCTATGTCATTATGTTTAATTATGTGTAAGTCATTATTTATTATTGTACTGTCAATATTGTCCTTAATTACGCAAGCGGCCCTGCATATATTTTTAGAGTGGGTTATATATCTAGTATTATCTATTTGTTGTGCGTTTTGAATACATCTTTTTAAAATTTTTGTATAGTGGTGATGGTGGTGCTTCACTAAATAAGTTAAATAATACAACATTGTTTTAGTTGAAGGGATTAAAAATGTAGTGGATATTCTAACATAGCCAAACTATTAAGTATTTTAGTCCACAGTAAAAATAAGTCGTAAGTGCTATGACATCTTAGTTCTCCAGAATAGCAACGCACGAGTGATATTGCACGCATAACGCGAGCACAGATCTTACAAAATAAATCATTATATTTTTTAATTTATCTATTTAAAATGTAATGTTAATATTGGAGACTAGACATCGGAAATTATGAAAATAGTATTTTTTCTAAATGTGATTATTTAATTATTACTTCGCCAAGTGCCTATAAAAAGATAAATGTGATCGTTTCGCTAAACCCAAGTAGCATCCCATTCCGTTTCGTCAAAATACTTTTACGCCTCTTCATGACAGTATCTATAACCCTTTAACTCCTCTCTACTTGAAGAAGCGGGCTATCTATAAATCGAATACGAATATATCTTTGTTTTGTTTATTATTGTGTTTTTATTTTTTTTATCCATAATTGTGTACGTAAATTTTTTTTTTTGTGAAAGTCGTTGAGTGAAAAGAAATCAGTTACTCAAAAAAGTTTCACTCAGCGTTGCATTCATTAAAATTAAACGATATATATTATGAAACTTAAGTCGGGTATTCCCCTATAAGATTAGATTTTGTATTGCGACATATTATATTGGTTAGATAGTGAGATTAGAACATCCGGATATAATCACGCTTATACATTTCAATAAATTTAAATTAAAATCAGTTTATAAACAGTGAACCCGATTGCATTAACTCGTGCGATACATTAATGGAGGATAATAAGACGTACATAAAGTCAGGTCGCTGGAACAGCTAGTTCCTAATAAATGAAATTCGTTTCCATTGTTTTTTTACATGAAGAACGAAGGTCAACCAGATTAGACATCACTAGCAATGGAGCTACCATTTTAATAATAATAAATATATAAATAAGAAACTGAGGAATACATATACTGGATAATAATAATAATCAGACAGGCCAAAAAATATGTTGCCACAAAGAAAGCGGCAAATATTATTTAATAAAAAAAGTTCCCCACTACCAATAATTCTCTCTTATTGTTCATTCATAATTTAAGAGCTACGCTCTTGTCGGTGGAGCTCTTGCCACTTTATTATACTAGTTCCAATACATAACATCAAATCAATAAAAACTTATTCAACGTATAAAGAAAGATTGACCCATTTTCGTAATAGATGACAAATTTTCTAAAGCGGTCATTACATTAGTCATTGTATCGCATTATCTTTACTATCACCAATAATATCCGCTGTCACAATTTGTTAATATGTACTTAGTCGTAGTGTATATGTGAGTGTAAGCATTAATGTGCTTTGTTTATGCTATAACAAGGTCTTATAATTGGACCTCTTAAGTTATGATATGTATATAAGATTTTAATAGTGTTTTATTTTTTCGTTGTTTGTATTTAATAGTGCATATAACAATCAAAAACGTATTCCAAATAGTTATTCGGTACCATTCAAGGTGAGATTAAAAAAAATTTTAACCTCTATATATTTCTGAAACTATGAAACTGTATCTGTCTGTTTCGTTTTCACTAGAAAGAATGGGCTGATATTCACGTTCAGGCCGGACGACCCGTGCTGACGACGCTTTCGATTGAAGCATTGTCTCGTTCGAATTGATTATGTGAGCTTACTGTAAAGGGCTGAGCGTATTTTAATAAAATTCACTGAAAGATGAACTGTTGGATTTTAATTTTTTTTTTAATCTTATCCATTACAAAAGAAATCTAATCTTTCATTATTACAATGTCATTTACATTTTAATAAATATGTTGTTTTTTCTAATGTACAAATTATTTTTAACGCCCATTCATTCATAATTTCAGAGCCATTCTGTATAAATGTTGATACGACCTGACTCCAATTTAGTCCTTAATTTGCTTGATGTAACTGATACATAGAAGAAAATATTTATTGATTGGTCATCAGACAAAAATTTTTGTTTCAGGTAAGAGAATATATCCATGAATAATGGAAGTCGCGAAAGCATCAAGGGATCGCGGGCCAGACGCACCAAGCAACCCTTGCATGGTACTTGTTTCTGGTGAGTATATAAAATCAATGGTATGATTGTTACCTATTTTTTTATTGTAAATAAAATGGAAAAGAACTTGATGACTTAGCCGATTCAAAATTGCAAATATCGCCTATATTTGAATTACATACACTTTTAAATATTACTTATTGAAAAGGTGGTAAAGGTACTTTATTTTTCTCATAAATTTTTATTATTAACCTGTTACTAAGATTTTCACTATAAGGTTTTTTGACAATAAACCGTATATAAATATGTTGCATCCGAACGCACCGAATGAGTGGTAGAATAAATATGTATGTATGTAATAAAATGACGAAATTGTTTTAGCACTGGACTAAATAGAACTTACTAATTTTGAAGTTTTTTACTAAGTAATAATGTTTTTTTTTTTTTCAAGGTTATCCTGCATACACACAACCACAAGATCTAGGTCGTACATTTACACAATTTGGTAAAGTGAAAATAGACAAAATCAATCAAAAGTTTGCAACGCTCTCGTTCTCGAATTCTATGGAAGCGAAGAGCGCGATAAAGGAGTCGAAAAGAATTACCATCTATGGATCGTTCCTCACAGTGCAGCCACACAGTGCAGTAGCTGTGGAGAATCATAACAGACAAAATAATAACAGGAAGAGGGAATTTCCTCGCAGTAAAGAGAAAGGTAATGCTAATTTGAAGTTAAACATTTATATTCTTGAATATTATTGTTTTTATCTATCTGGGTATGAATATATATATGTATGGTATTTAAAAAAATCTATGTAGTTGTATGAGTTGTTTAGTACCTATAACACAAGCTCTGGTTGTGTCTATATGCTGCTATGTCAATTATACTGAGATTTTATTATTATTATTATTATTAGTTATCATTATTGTAAAAAGTAAGAGTATAGCATCTTACTAATATTATAAACGCGAAAATTTGTGAGTATGGATGTTTGTTACTCTGTCTCTTAAAAACTACTGAGCGGCTTTTGATGAATCTACAATAATATAGCTATACATTAAAATGACATAGACTACTTTTTAAAAAAATATGTGTATTGGGTGAAATACCATGATATATATCCAGTAAATGTGATGCAGACGAATTTTCGCGGATCAGCTAGTAGTGTAATATGGGTATAACCTTTTAGCTTTCTTATACAAACAATATATTAAGGGGGTCTTCCTATGTGACGGCCTGTTTTTTAGAGATATTTTAGGATTTTTTTTCTACGACCAGTAAATATTTAGAGCTTCAAGTTTTTTATCATTTATTAACACATATTTGGACAGTATAAATATAAAATTTCAGCTAAAAATATTCAGTCAAACTAGAGTTACAGCGCTCTGAACACCCCCGCCTCGAAAAAAAGAGCTCCCACTTCCTCCACGATTCCGGCTGATCGGCTTATCTGAAAAAAAAAAAACGGCGTTTTAATTTGTAGGCTTAAAAGCACGGAATGACCTATAATCAAATGAATATAAAAAAAATTGGATTTTTGATAGACATTTGAAATAAAATTTGCAAATTAGGCGTTTTTTTTTTTGTTTTTTGCTATAAAAAAATCGAAGTTTTGAAAATTTTCGATTGATAATAGTTCATTCCATGCGTTTACATATATTGAGTGTGCCCTGTAAATTTCAAGTAATTCGGTCCAGCCGTTTCTGAGATACAATGGAGGAAAGTTTGAAAAACACAGTTTTGAGAAAAACGCGTTTAAAGTTTCAAGTCCGTTAAAAACTATTAAAATATCAACTTACTCTCAATCGGCGATGCCTGGTCCATAGAGTATTCCTTCCTCTTCCTCGTGAAACTCTTTTAAAGCAGATTGTTCAGCTCTTGAGTCAATCCTGGCTTGTTTAACGACATCACTTACGCGCCGCTCAGAGCGTAAGATTCGCTTTTCATCCCGTTTCTCAACATACGCTTGGGCTTCACGACCAACAGGGCATCCCATAATCGACATAACTTTTAAAATACCTTGAAAACCTTCATTAAAGATAATAACTGCTAAGTAGCTAGCAATTTCAACAACTTTGGGACCAGAATGAAGATGTTTAGGAGCGAAAGTCCAAATCAAAGAATTCAAAGATTCGTTATTGTTTTGTGTCTCTGCTCCTAAACAACGAATTAATAATTCGTCTTTCGATAAATCTTCGAAAACCGGTTTGATAGCTTCTTGGACTTGCGGAATTAGAGGTGGTTTATCGTGATGAAATTGGTCCAGTTCATTATTAGCTTCAGCCTTACGCCATTTACACCAACTGTCTTCGCCTTCTGGACAAAATTGATGCTGAGGGTTTTCATCAGAAGAACCAATCCACTCGTACTTCCTTTCCGTCCACTCATTATGAAAAAAAATAATTTGTAGCTGTTGCTCTCTTCGAAGTTCAACCAAGACTAAAATAACTTCGGTAAAATATTATAACAATAGAAATTTCTGTTTAAGTCTGTAGAAACGTGTCTAAACTTGTATAAACAAATATATTAATAAAAGGGAGGCCAGGTATAAAGCCGACGGTACACAATAGGCCCGGTCTCTAACTGTCAACTCACCGCTCCGAACCGCTCTTTCTTTTACCTGCTGTATCTTTAAAACGACTTCGAATTTTCTAAAATCGCTTTACTACCGTATTCTAGACATGTTAAGGGAGCAATTTATGAAAAAAAAAATCGATTTTTTCAACCCATCACATAGGAAAACACCCTTAAAGCATATAACTTACTTTTTTTCGTAACTGGAAGAACAACAGAACTGTCGATCTAGGTATATCTTTTACCTTATGTAAAACAGCCCTACGGATCTCGAGTCTTATAATAACGCAATATCCGCCCAGCCCCAAATCTAAGGGCGCCTTGGGGGCAACATAGGCCCTTGAGTGGAACTTAGCAGATGCGTGGAATGGATGGTGCGCCAAAAATGATAAGTTGTGTATTCACACAACTTATCATTTTTGACGCACCTTTCACAACTTGTCCACGGACAGACGGCGATGGCCGTAAATAAAAGTAGATTGTTTGTGTTCAATTTCATTCATTTGAAAATGAAAGATATACCAGTTAAAAAAACCACATTAATTGACAGCAATACCAATTAGATAAATTGTATATGTATTTTGAAAAAATCTTGGCCGGAGAGGAAGCGCGTGGAGTTTTAGGGGGACAGCCTATTTTAGTTTTTGCTCCGCCTCAAAAAATATGAAGATCCGGGGCTGTATCTGTCTCATCTATTTCAGCCGTCAGACAACTGGTTTTCTAAGCTGTGTTTCGGTGATATATTAGTGATACTATTATTTTAAAATGCAATCATTAGTTAAGAATGTATTTTGACAAGTTCTTTACTGAAGGCAATTACTTTAATTTTTAATATGACAAATGTAACTTTCAGGTGTAATCATCCACCCCAAAGATATTGATCTCTCTGGGGACTTTTCACAGCAGGTTGATAATATCCTATTGGCGATCAGACTAACACAGGAGGAAGTTCTCAGGATTAGTTTACTCTACTCTGACTTGGAGAGTGCTTTACAGACTGAGTGGCCAGGCATGTATAAGTCCAAAGTTCTAGTTTTAATTAAATATGATAAAATTGTAAATCAGCTGTTCTACCTTCTGGAAACTAATGTCGATCATATGACTTTGAAATGGGGCCCCTTTTTATAGTTTTAAATTGTATGCTAGCAATATACCAAACTAACATAAATGCGATTGTATCTGTTTATCTGTTCGGCCTAGATTGTATCATGGGGATGGATATGGACTGTATTTTATCTTAAAAAATAACTTCTAAGACTGTGAAATCCCCTATTTCACCCCATACAAAGTTACTTGTAGTCACAAGTAATATGTAGTAAATGTTCAAGTTATTTTGAAAAATGGAAATAACTGACATTAAAATCTGTATTTATATTATTGACCTGAGTATATTAAATTCAGATCCAGAGTAAATCTGCCGAATCTACACTGTGAGCAACATGTTGATGTACTAATAGCTCATGCTGATGATACACAGTTCTAATGTTTTGTTTTCACATTGTAAATTATAATAAGCAGTGAACTATATGGGTTTTTATGTTTTTTTTTAGTAGTAGAGTAGAGTAGATGGCTCTAATGTTTCCCATTTTAGTATTTTGTAAATTGACTAAATACTGCTAATAATATTCTTACCAATATATAATAACGTTACAAAACGTTGCTTAATATTTCTTCACAGTATTCGTAAAACGTTTTATTTCTACTTCACAGGTTGCACAGCTATCCCATTCGGTTCCATTCCGACAGGGCTCGGAATCAAGACGAGTGATGCTGACTGCTTCGTTAAAGTCCCACCTCAATATCGTATTCCCAATGTAAATTTTGTGAACAAAGCGACACGAATCCTTCGCCAATATCCTCAAATCTTCTCCGAAATCTTGTCCATACCGCGCGCTAATACACCAATAGTTAAATTCTTCCACAACCCCACTTCTACCAACTGTGATGTCTCATTTAAAACAGAACTTGGTGCTAGGAACAGCGTCTTAATCAATTTTCTCCTTCGAACTGACCCAAGACTAATTCCAATGGCTGTTCTCATTAAATACTGGGCTAGAGTACATGAGGTCTCTGGCAGTGGTAAAGTCACCAACTATGCCCTCACCATGCTCATTGTTTTCTACCTTCAACAATGTACCAACCCCATCCTCCCCTCTATAATGTGGCTCCAGCAAGACCCCAAAAATGATTATATAGTTGATCACTGGAATACAGGATTCATGAGTCAACTTGATGGGCTCCCGAAATCATCTAACAGATCCTCAATATCAGAATTAATTGGTGGATTTTTTGAATACTATGCTGGGTTTAATTTCGAGGAAATGGTTATTTGTCCATACTTAGGTGAACCGGTGAAAAAAGATTTATTCAAAGATCCGAATAATTTACCCAAAGGATTTGAAAGATACAGAGATAACATAAAAAATCAGAACACGCCAGGGTTGCGTTTCACCACGTCATGGTGCGCACAAGATCCATTTGAACAGTGCCATAACATTGCTTCGCCAGTCTCTAGTCGGCACGCCAGTAATATCAAGGAATACTTCAGGTTTGCGTCAAGTGCTTACATAAAGGACAAGCCCAACAAATGTGAAAACTTCCTGAAAATGATTCTTCTAGAAAAACCCAAAATTAGTAAAGAGAGAGGTCATCCAGAGTTTAGATCCAATTTGTTCCCGAAATTTATAAACAACATCATCGATCCGGATTGGAAGTCAGTAGTGCGAAATATTATTCTGCTAATATTTGAAAGTATGCTGAAAATTAAACTTGGTAAAGTAGAAGAAAAAGTAAACCCTGATTCAAAGAAAGAAAAAGAGAAGTATATGGGCGAGGTTACAAAACCAATATGGAAGAGAAAGCAAGCTTCTAAAATGCCAGGAATTATGAACCTAGATTTGCAACAGCAACAAGCGAGAATAACGGAGGAGATTTTGAAATCTGAACTCGAACAAATCAGTATTCAGTTTCAAATGATAATGACATACTGCCACAATCCTAAGCGGGCTGTGGTATCGATTAAGCTGAACAATGGCAACATAGGTACCTTCAAGGAATTCGGCAAATTTTTCGTCTCTGTATTACAGAGCTGGTTCACGCACCTACTGGCACCTTACACAAGAAGTTGTAATAACGACACTGCGGCGAAGATAGCTGAGACAATTAAATTTCTTGACAGCAATCGTGATGGTTACCATTGTGACTCATCGAGTGAATAAGAATTGAAGGCTGCACCATTTCCACGGTGTAGCCTTAATCTCAGCTCTGGCTCCATACGAAACACACCACGCTATAACTTAACCATATATCCCGCGATGAAACCAATGTAAACATCATTCTGTCAGAGTTTTATTTTATCGTAGTAGATAAACTCTATTTTAATATTAAGCTATAATTATTGTCTTTTTTATAATTTCATTTTATAGAATTGTATTCATGACTTAAAATATTGTTGGTTTTCTATTAATAAAAAAAAGAAACTAAATATTCACATTCAGTGTTAGATTTTAAATAGTGACCAATATATAATGACAAACATAGTGATTTATTAATTATTGTTATAAAATCATTTTAAATATGTTAACACCATGAATATTAAAGCTTTGCTCATGGTGATATGAATAGATCGATCTATTTTCTGACATCTTTGAATTTAATACTTTTATTTTATATATTCTGCAAGAGGTATACTAAATCAAACCGCGAGACCAGATATTATGGTGTATGATTTTAACCTGGTGTCTCAAATTTTGACTTACGCTTTGTACTTACATAAATAGGTGAAAACAAATTATCAGCATTTTTTTCATTAAATATGTATTATGAATTAACGATAAAGTTCGCGTTCTTGTCATTTAACAAATACTAGTACTTCGTTTTGTGTAAATTATACTTTGGTAGGTACCATAAGGGAAGAAATTTTGTATGATACGTAAAATAATTTAATATTTGTAATATATACATATTAACAGTATGGCCTGTGGTGTGTAGTATTGGTACATGATTTGATCATTAGGTAACGATTGGAGTTTTAAAGAATTTTATAAAATAATAAGCTACAAAGCTTCTAAAGAAGCTATATCCGTTAGAAATAACAATTGAATAAACAAAAATTGACATTGTTAAAAATATTATAGTTCTGCAAACCTTCACCTTCAGTTTGTTACATTTGAAGTAGACAGTACATGTGTCAATGTGTACAAGATGAACGAGTATTTACTTTATAGTAAATATATACTCTTAGATCATGTTAATTAGACTTTCCTGACAGTTAATTTGATCCAACATATGAACAAATTTAAATAGATAATAGATTTTATTTTAAGAATTACTGTAGTATGTAAGAAATAAAATTTAAAAGACTATTTTTTATAATATTCACTCTCCTTATGTTCTCATTCTTAATCATTCTTATAATACTCTTTCTAAAATATATATTAGATTCATCTGGCAACACATCCTAGTGTTCACATAATCATAAACACTATACCAATATACCTGTCATACGTAACGTATAACGTACCATTACTAGAATCAACTAATACACGAATTATTGTCTTTCTGTATGTTGTTTAATTAATTTAATTATTCAAATGTACTACTACCTTTAAACCAATTTATGACTTCATCATAGCAACTATCGCAGAATAAAAATTATTGACACAAATATGAAAAACAATGGAACATAATCTTATAATCAACTAAAAGGTTTGGCAAGCTCGTCTTGAAGAATTTAGAATTTTTGGAAAAGTTACTGAAGATTAAGCAGTATGTCTTGTACCTTTGCCTATCCATTTGTGGATAAAATATACTACTAACAATACAGTAGTTGTTTAAATGTCAATAACATACTCTCTCTGATCTGTGCTTCTGACTTAACAATAGGATTGACATAACAACAACTCAAAGCAGCTGCTTGTTATTTCTCAATTCTATATTAACTCATCTAACTTAATCTGATTAAATATTTCTTGTTATGATTTGAATACAATTTTAATTGTACTTTGCAAAGGTGTACATAATTATACCTAGTAATCACTTTGTTATTATTTACGATTGAAGCTTCTCACTCAAATGAAATAATGGAATATAAAAGTAAGTTTACTTCGCTATTGACTTGAACTAACAAAATATATTTTTTAGAAACCTTTTGAAATAATTTGACTTTATATACATTGAATTAAGTTTTAATTGAATATCGGACACGGTCACTCCTCGATCGTTTCTTTATTCCATAGCAATGAGGACTAAATTACTACTGTCTGTATCAAGGTTTGAACAAATCATATCCGTGAGTACGCGTTATCCGTCAGCCTGTACATAAGTCATTCGGATGTTTCACGTTCCTGCTATGCTCCCATGAAGCTGTAAAGGGCAATTACTGCCAACTTAATTACAATAATTTAAAAAAAGTAAACCAAACAGCACCCCATTACATAGATATATCCATCGCCTCCCAAAACCTAATGGAGGTATAAAAGTCATTTTAAAATTAAATTTTCTTTTCTTTTTCAAATAATAATTATATCATAGTTAATATTTGATATTACATTAGAAACAACAAATTCAAATTAATACATTACAGTATATAGGTGTATTATTTGTAATTCATATTCGTAAATAGTTGATTCCTTTATGTAGACAATTTTATTATACATATAGAATATAGTAGCAAATATTGATAAAAACACTATAACTGTGCATATTTTTGTTATAGATGATATTTTGAGTACATCTTTACTAAAGCTACATGGAGATTTTAAATCACAAGTGAACTATTTATTACAAAATGTAAGATTATCAAGGAATGATGTGGAAAATTTGACATGGCTTTTCTCAGACCTGGAACAATCCCTACAAAGGGTTTGGCCTGGTAAATACTTACAGTATTTGAATTGTTTTTATACATAGAACTTTTTGTTCAGTTTTAAGATTTTTAAAAAGTATACATGTATGTTATATAATGTTAAAATATATATGTTATTGCACTTGTAATACCTATTACATCTATGTAATACCTATTATAATCATCTTTATTTTTTAATGTTACAAGACTTACCAGTCTTGTAACATTAAAAAATAAAGATGATTATACAAAAATGTGAGCAAGGCTGGGCTTATATCTTCCAGCCAATCTAATGCTGTGACATAGTTAGTAGTTAGCAGGCAATGATAGTGCTCAAGTTTATTAATTACAACATTGTAATGTATACTTTAAAATTAATTAATTATAACTAATATAATAATGCACTATGTTATTAAATATTTTTAGAGACAATTTATCTACTTAATTGAAATATTTAAATCTTACTCTTAATTAGGTATGCCATTATTAAAACAACATAATAAAAAAAGCTAAATATCTTGGAAAGAAACAACTGTTGACTCAATATAATTGTTGATGTACTTAAACTTTTAATATATTTATAATAATATAAGATCTCAGGATAATTCACACACTATCATCTAGTCTTAAGCTTGATATGAGTACTAGATAACTGATACAAATACACATGTACATATTTTGTAAATATATACGTATTATACATAGAAAACACACAGACAGATACAAACATTGTATTTATGAGTGTTAGGAATCGAACTGGTGACCATTGGAAGTAAGGAGGTGTGGCATACCACTAGACCATAGAGACCATCTAATTCAAAATTAATCAAGTTTAGATAACCATTTTTATAATTAGAGTTTTACACATTTATTTATGTAAATATATTTTGCAACTACTCTGTATAAATTTTCCATAACTTTTCAGGTTGCATAGTAATGCCATTTGGCTCTATAGTAACAGGTCTTGGAATACAAACTAGTGATGCAGATTGCTATGTTTCAATACCAGATCATCTCAAGATAGCAGGTGAGAAGTATGTAATGCAAGCAAAGCATGCACTGATGAGGTTCTCTGTAAATTTCAAAGAACTGTTTGCAATAACCAATGCAAAAGTACCCATTGTGAAATGCTTCCATGTACCAACAGAATCTCATTGTGATATTAGTTTTAAATCAATCTCAGGGGTAAGAAATAGTAAATTAATAGCTTGTCTATTACAAAGTAACCCAAATGCACTGAATCTGGCTGTTTTAATAAAATACTGGTCAAAAGTGCATGGGATCACCGGCACTAATTTGTTGCCTAATTATGCTTTAACAATGATGGTAATATTTTACTTACAACAAATAAATGTCTTACCATCTGTTATACAACTGCAGAGAAATACAGAAGCAATCATGGTTGATGACTGGAACACAAGTTTCAATGAGGACTTCAATTTTAAATCCATGAATAATCTGTCACTGTATAAACTCTTAGGAGGGTTCTTTGAATATTACAGTACTTTTAATTTTAAAGAAAACATTGTGTCACCATATTTGGGACGGCCTTTAAGTGCAGAATTGTTTAAAGATGTTAAAATGGTTCCAAATCAATTTGCACTATATAAAAAGAATGTTATAAGTAAAGTATATAAGCCACTAAATGTAAATGGCATAATGTGTATACAAGACCCCTTTGACCATAGTAGGAATGTATCTGGAGCTGTGTATCTGAGATTAGCAGTCAATTTCTTTTTACATTTGAAGTATGCGACTGAAATGTACAAAGGATGCACTGAAAATGACTTCCTAGAAGGCCTCCTGTCAAAATCGTTAGCGCCAATTACTTTACAATCAACAAATAAAAAGAAAAGTAAGGTTCATAAGACTGGACAGGGTAAAATTAAGAAACAAACTAAAAGAAATAGCTATAACCACAGCAGTTTCCAATCACTGTTTATAGAAATTAATAAACTAATGAAAAATAATACAAAATAAAAGAGTTACATTATATAGTATTGTGTAGGAAAAGTAAACAAGTTTACTTGATAAGTGAAAGACTAAAAAGGATCATTTAATAAAAGGACAAAATCATAATGTTAAATGTGTATATGTTAAAATAATTTTCCTAAAATAATATAAAATAAATTTTGTCACACACACACATATATTTTATCACATTTATTATGCCTCATTGCATCAGCATGGGTAGGTTCCATATTGTTAGAAATCAGACTATGATTTACAAGAAATTGTATGTACTCTGACTATAATTATCGTCATTAGCAATTACTCTGTAATAAGATTCTCAATATAATTAGTATACTAGGTAATTTGAGGTGAAATATTTAGATATATTAGAATTATTCAATTTACAAAAACAACATTTTATAAAAAAATATTTAACTTTTATATAATACTGTGACAAATAATAATTAATCATAATCGTGTCTGCGCTCAAAAATGGTATTCGTCATCCAAAGACTGAAGCAATTGCTTCGTTAATATTTCAATGAAAGTTATTATTATATTTTTGTGTTATTACACATTATTAATACAGTTATTCAGGTCTAAATTTCAATATAGTAAAATACATATATTTACCATTAAATTATTCATGTTAAGACCTGACCTGAGAAATTATTCATGTTAAGATTAACTACGTTAGTAAAATCCCTGCAGTTTTACACACTACCTTATAATTACATAAATAGCTTATGTTAAGACACTATAATTGGCTATGATAGTTACAAGGTATAGAGGGAATGGTAATATTAAATGCATAGTTAATATTTGGTATGCAACCAAGGCATTAAATAAAACAATCCTTATAGAGAACGAAAGGACGAATACGTTACTAAAAATAAGTATAAATATTATAGAATAATTTAATACTACGTGTTTTTGACCAACCAAAATGAATCAATAACTTTCCCCTCAAGATCTGCTGACACCTGAAATGTAAAAACATTAATATATGATTTGCAGAATTATAGTTAACGGACAGGGAGGGAATTTTTAGTAATGCGTATTAATGGTCCAACACATTATTTTCAAGATATTATACAATACTTACCTCTCTTAATATATGTTAATTGAAAAGGCCTATGATGCGTGGAGTGTCGACACTAGAATCTACCAAAGGCACCGCTTTAAGGATTGTGATAGAAATCCTATGTATTTTATTTCCTTAGCAACATAATATATATGCTTAATAATGTATTTATTTCAGATAACTAATGCTTATTCACATAGGATCTTTCAGTCTTTTGTGTACGTCACATTTTTTCCGAAATAAAAATATATGAAAAGGTTGATGACTATAAAGTGATTCAAAGAGGTATAGACGACTCGCACCATTTTCTCTTCCTACCCGAATTTAAGTAGTATTATAGTGTAGTACAATATGTATTCATGATCGTTGTAATCATTATGTATATTAGTCATATTATAGAATTACCTGTTCTATATAAATGGGCCCTTTTTTGTAGGCCTTTAACTTAGTATAGCCGTAGTCTTGCGATCTAAACGCCGACCATTTCGCCGAATTATCTGTACACAAATTAAAGGAATGTTACTTGGAAAAGTTACATTAATTAAATTTAATTAAAATATATGAACATATTTCATTTTATCATTTGACCCATGGTATGTATATTCTTGTTGTTTTATATCTTTGTCTTATATTATATCTTTGAATATAAAACTACAAAATTGCTATATGGCCCAAAAATATCTTAGAGCATTTTTTTAGTTCTTTTCTAGGACTTATAAATAACATCTTTTCTTATCGCTTAAAAGTATTGGGGCTTCAACTGGATCATATGTTATATTGTTTAGGTGGAATTAAGTATGTAATTACTAAGTCTCGAATAATCCGAGACTTAGTAATCACAATTAGTTCCAAAGCTGAACCGACTTTAATGATTCTTAATTTAAATTAAAAGGTTCAAAGGCATCAATAAATAATATTTTATTTATTTATATTGTCAATATATAATCTTTGCCATAAAACTTACGCCTAAAGTGATCTCGTCCTTCCCGACAGCCTGCCGAGCCCGTAACTAAGTGCACTGGAGCCCTACAACGTTTATAACATTAATTTATAAAGATGAAGATAAAAGAAAAACTCAGGACTTAAAAGTTCTGAGATAAAAAGTATATTAATTTCATGTCTGCTTCAAATATTAAAACAAGTGTTGGACAATAAACAAGTGTTGATCACGTAACCGCGCACTTGTTGAGCGTTTGAATTAATCCTTAGATATATAATCGTGATTCGATAACTTGTTTGGCCAAAGTTCAATTTTAACAGCAACATTTAAACTTTATAGAGCAAGAGCCCACGACTGCCAGACATACGTCATTTTAATAAACGTTTATTAAAATGACGTAAGTTTATTTATAAAATAGTATAGTTTAGGGGGGTCCGGCGGGGGGTTGGAACCACACTAAGTGTCTGGCAATGAGCAGCGCAAGTTATAATAATGCTACGAACAATATGTGAAAATATGGAGTTTCTTAAAATAACGAATTTGATATGATTTTTTTTACACCTTTGTTACCTGGTACCTGCCAAAGGAACCACGATCCAGGTTTCATGTTTAGGAATCATTCTTACTTGTGTTGGGGACACACATACAAGAACTTTCACGTTTATTAAAATGACGTATGTCTGGCAGTCGTGGGCTCTTGGGCTGTTAGTACCTGATGTCGATTATTGGCCTCATTGTTACCCAGTATAACCTCTGGATAGTCACGGAGTCGCCTTCGTAATTAGAAGTTTGTGGTGACCACATCTGACCCTTAATTATGTAACGATGTTATTAAGAACTCTCAATTGTAAACAATTAAAATGTATGGGTTTTCAAAGTTCTATGAACCATTAGAGACTTGGAAACACGAGCTAAGTTAATAAAGTATCAAATGAAAATTGGTAGTAATATCTTTACAAGCTTATAGCCTTAGTCTAACTTATTTTATATACATCGGTTCATCGATCGGGTATCATTTTATCATTAACAAAAAAACTCATAACTCTGGAGTTAGGAAGGAATAAATCATACTTTAAATTAAAACTTGCTACAAAATTTATTTAAAAGGTAAAATTAGTTCAATAGGTTTTGTAAAATAACGGGTAATAAATAAATGTTACATGTTACATTAAATGTTCTGATTTCATTTTGCCAATTTAAAACGACAAATAGCAATTAATACAATTGAAGGGTTGATATAAAAAGTGAACAATTTGCTGGCGGTATTTATTTTATTAATATGAAAATAATATTACAATTCATATTTTAAAAACTAAATAACTTCTATAACTGCTAATATAGATATGTATCATACTTATGACTCCAAACATTGAATTAATGTCATTATTAACTGGGAAATTCACAAAATATTTGACAAATACAAATTGTATTTAAAGGCTGTTAACGTAACATATTAAATCAAGATTAGTCTTAGTAACTCTATTTAGACAGATAATTTGCCGACATTATTTTCATATTAAAAAAATCTAATCAAATTAACATTATACAAAATCACAAAAAATCTTTGGTTTTATGAAACAATAAACGGTGTATTACTCCGTTACATTATTAGTCATAAGAATTAGAGTAAAAACTTCGGTATGTGTAAGCGAATGCTTTACATACGAAGTAACCATCGTAATAACCCATTAATTATCAATGATTAATCTAACTTTTAAGTTTTACTCAACAATCTAAGTGTCTAGCCTAGTCAGTATTCCTATTACCTTGAGATTCTTTTACAAACACCAATATATTTATAAGCTGAGTTCGTATAACTATTAAAGCTTTACTGAAAAGCAAGTATTGTCTTAATTTAATAATATTGTAAGAAAATGAATATATTAAAGATGATAATATGGCTGATGAAGGTGTTTTATGAGCCAGAACTGGTCCATGACACGTGGGTTTTTCGAGTCTATAGGATTTTCCACATCCACCTGAAAAAGCCAGAAGACTATATAAAAATTTTACCCAAGTACACTTTGTACAAAGTTGTCTGCATGAGTACCTCTAGCTTGCTATATTTTGGTTTGAGGTTGATATATGACAGTGAAGTTACAGGTTATGAAAGTATCAATGATGAAGTGACTTAGTCGTCCAGAATGGCAATGCATGTGGGGTATTTATTACAAGCGTCACCCAACCAGATTGATTATGTGTATTGCCAAGATTTACACTGTAAATCAGATGGTTCATAAATTGTTTGCCATTTATTATTTAAAAAAAAAACACTTCACCTGTGTATCCAGCAGGCATTTAAAATAATTTATTTAGTCTCAAAATAAATATAGAATGTATTTTAAACGTTTTATAAAAATTACAATTGAAATTTAGTATCGTGAAGACCACTTTGTCGTAAAGGCTTCAAAGTTTAATTTATAAGGGAATAGAAAATAATGCGTATCAGGGAAGGCATTCGTACGGGAATCCACATACAAATAACAGATTTTTGGCGTTTGTACGACGATTTTTCACCCACACATGTATGTACGAGATTTTGACCTATGAAAATCGAACAGAATACTATGTATATCAGTACAGAGTAAAGAGCCAAATTGAGTAGGTACGTGAATTTATCATATATTTTCATTTTGTATGAGGCTAAGTTTCATGTTAGCATTAATGCATATACAAAAAGCTGCATCATAGCATAGCAGTCAATAGATGTTACCTGTTCCACGTGTATATGCGTTTTGTTGTAAGCATAGAACTTGGTATAACCATACTCGCTGGATCTAAACGCTGACCATTTCAAGGGTGGCTCTGTTAACAAATTTTATATACATATATTATATTCATTCAAGGCAGATATTACTTGAACACATTGTTACCTCGTCTTTTTAAGGGGATAGGTGTTGTTAGTAATGGGCTCTAGGGATTGTTAATATTATATCTGTCAAGTTTGACGTCCATATGTTTTGGAAATTATTGTAGTTCATTCCTGGGACATTTCTCACAATACTGACTGACTTCACAAAATCACAGAAAACGCATGACATCTTAGTCCTCTGTTCATGTACATAGGAGATACTTACCGCTTACCATCAAGTGAACCATTAATTTATTTGCTTTTCAAATTAATAAAAAAATATTTTAAGTACCTTTACTTTTGTTTCGATCTTTATCAAAATTTTAGTAATATAGAAATTTTAACCATGATATAAATTTGTCTTTCAACAGTGTTAAATAATCATCATATCAATTAGCGCATTACAAAAAGAATGTTCTATACTATAATCATTAATACCTACTTTTTAGTTCGAAAAA